CATCTGGTAACATGACAAATAAACACATTTATCAAGTTGAATGATCTAAGCTCTGAGGGTAATTTATTATACCTTAAATTGCTGTATAATCACTACATTTTATATGGCGCTATTGTGTTCATAAATTACAGAGTAATATATTTGTGTCTCACGTAGGCAGCAGAGCTGCACAGTTTTTATTTTACTGATCATGTTGAGCTCAGACCCTTTAACTTTCACTCTGTGAACTTTGTAATTTGCAGTGACCCATAAGCAACTTAGGAGAAGCTATAATTAATGCTGCAAAACTGACAATGATCAAAATTAACCATTAAAATTAAAATTAACCAAACGCCAGCCAGTAAAACCTGGGTCAAGGGACTGATTGTCAGACCTGCAAGTGCACCTCGCAGAAGCTAAACTTTACTATGCATATCAATAGTTTGCGTTATCTTGCATCTTTAATAATATTTTGTAATATTTATTATTGATAAATAACATTCGCAAAACACTAACACTGTAAGGGTAAATACAAAGTAAACTGCGAACACGGATGTAGTTTTACGCTATAAAGTCAGGGAAAAATATGTAAACATGTAAATGCATTTTTATGCATTTTTCCAAATTTTTTCAAACAATTTCCAAAACCAAATACCAAAGATGTTATGTTCTTTAGGAATAATGGAAACAATTTTGAACAAACTAGATTTAATTAAAGGAGAGGACGACTGGTTTCCGATGACAGCATTGAGAGACAAATGGCAGCTCTGTATGACATCATAATGGACTTATTCATGAGGTCGTCAGTGGGCTAAACTAGGGCTTCCTCCAGCACAATGAGCCCTTGGTGTAGGAAACTCTCAGGCACCCGCCCCCGTCTTTCGGGATTAACCAATCAGTGCGCAGAATTCGGTCTGCTCAGCCTACAAACTTGTGCCGTAAACTTTGACATTAGGTAGCAGCGTCAGTCTGCAGCAAAATCAGCCTGGGCATCATCAATCAAAGTTAGTCAGCAGTTCCACATTTCTAGCCCGGCAATCAGCCACTCTGCCCACAGCAACACAATACCAACATCATCGGTCTGTTATGATCATAAATCAGCCCCTTTCAGCTCCCTGCTGGAATCCCCTCTAGCACAGTGAAATTTCACAGTCCTGCACAGATATAGCGAATGGATTTTTAGACACCTGCCTATTTCATCACTCTCTTCCCACGGAATGGAAAAGGACCTTTAAAGTGACCTTTTAAATGCTTCTGGTGAACAGTTAGTCATGGAACTAAGCCTGTTCCCGGCTGTGCGAGTTGGGGTGTTGGTATGACCCCCCAGCAGAGTCACTCTGCCTGGAAGGGGCTCGGAGTAGAGGGTCCATCGAAAGTCCAAGTCACTTATTCACAAACCAGTCTGGGACACTAAAAGGGCAAATGATCGTTACAGCTGCCAGATCGGTACTAATATCCAACATCTGACAGGGAAATAAATCATAAATAAACAAAGGGAGTATTTACAGTAAATGACAGATAAATGACATTATGGAAGACATCGCAGACGAATGTTCTGTACTTTCTATTTTTCTCAAGTCAATCGCGCTGATTTGTCTCTTCACGCCAGCTGAATGAAAACACAAAGGCATGTGTTTACTGCATTAAGGGGAAGCCAGATTTCATCTGCAAATCCAGCCCCACCTTCTGACAACTACCTTTCAGTCCGTTCCCTCTCGTTTACTATAAATAACAGGACATAAATTGCGTTCAGTTAACTAAGCCAAGGCAAATCTACAAGAAGTAAACAGTTAAATCAAAAATATAACAATGTTTCCTGAGCTTTTCCGATATATTTATAGCATAGAATCCAGGATGTACTGGTCCATGACCCAGGTGTGAAAGGGGGTTAGTCTAAACCGACCCACTGCTGGAACGGACAAAACATTTCACAAACTAGTCCGAACTCACCAACAAGTTTTGGTGCTTAAGTAAAGAATATCAGCTTTGCACCATCTATCCCAGAGGTGGAATAGAGCAAAAACTGAATTTGTGACCAAAACCATCAATGTCCCTGCTGTTATTTGAGCAGTTTTGTGTGATTGCTTCAGTAAATAAACATCTGCAAATATTGATATAAGTTATCCTTAAATCTTTTGTTGCTGCACTTTGGGTGACCATGTTGGGAAATTAGCAACATGAAAAGACACTAATGAGATTGCTAAGTTAAGTAAATTGCTTTGGCTCATTTAAGTGAATAACTAAAAAAAAATGCTGCTTTAAATGGAGCTGAGGTTTGGAAAAACAAGTCAGTGAAAATATCTGTGGAGGTCTGTGTGAAGCCAGAGAGGAAATAACATGTGTGGGAAAAAACAGACAGGGTGTGACTGGAGTGGGGGGGGGGGGGGGGGGGGGGACAAGGGGCAAAAATGCAAAGTGTCCCAACAATTACTGCTGCACAAATAAGAACACGTACATCCACTTCAGCACACATCCCACTGAATCTCATACTGCGAGCAGCTACGTATGCAATAACATTTATATACAAAATATATGAACATCTGTAATAATCCATCAGGCAGGACAAACATCTGTCCATCCATCAGTCTTCTAACCACCTATCAGGGCCGCAGGGGAGCCTGGGGTCTGTCCCACAAGGCCACCGTACGGGCAATTTAGAAAGACCTGTTAGCTTAACTACAAGCCTTTGGACTGCGGATGTAAAGCGGAGGACTCAGAGGAAACCCAGACAACACAGGGAGAATGAGCTCCACACGCAGGCGGGAAGCAGGGTTCAAAGCCCAGTGCCAACAGCTAAGCTACTCTGCACATGTATCTCTAACCGAATTAGTGAAGAAAGCCTGCCACCTTGTGGTGACATAAAGCACCAGGCACACAGAAATACAGTGGTACCTCAGAACTCGAATTTAATCAGTTCAGAACTCCGGATCGATTCCTAAAATGTTCGAGTTCTGATCGTATTTTCCCCATAAGAAATAATGGAAAACCAATTCATTGGTTCCCGGCCCCAAAAAAATACACCCAAATATGTTTTTTTTTAGCATTTTTAAACACAAAATGAACCGGATAAAACAATAAGAGCATATACTGTACTAAACACATCTAAGCACATATATCAAAACAGTAATTTGTAAAGTAAGAAAATAAATGTATCTAAACAATGTGTAAATAAAAAAACAACAACGTGTCCTGCCCCGATCGTCCGCTCCTTCCGGGTGCCATGCCCCCCGTGTGGAATCCTGTTTCTAGTTGTTTTTATTAGCCCTCTGTATTTAGTCCGCGTTTCAGTTTGTTTCCCCAGTCTGGTCATTGTATTGTCCGTCTGCGTTTTGCCTGCCTTACCTGTAATTAAACCCCGTATTCCCCGATTCCCTGACGTCTGCGCCTTTGTCTCCGTTCCGCCCCCGCTGGGCACGACAATATTATTATAATTAAATGTATTAATGGTTTATTATTAATATTAAAATAATTATTAAGAAATCTTTATTTTAAAATGTATTTTATTATATAATAATTACAGTTACTGTCTCTCATTGTCTAAATGTATTTTTACTGTCTAAATATATGTATTCAGCTAGTGTAAACATGTCCGATGCTATCACAGTGAATGCCAGGCTGAGATTGAAGCGCTATCCTTTGTTTCCGCTGAGAGACGTGCCACGTGACTCATTTCCCCGCGCGTACAAGTTATCTTAGGTCGGCGTTCACGGTTTGACTTCTGAGATTTAGAATTAGTTGTAGGTAATTTTTTTTTCGAACTGATTGGTTCGACTTTTAAGAAATTCGAGTTCTAATGACTTCGAGAACTGAGGTAACACTGTATAAATAAAAATGATGTTTAACAGTATTCTCTAATGAATAACAACAATCGTGTTAAAAAACATAATAAAATATGCTGGTTTCAAGAGGAATTCTTTTACACGCTTCATAGTCACAATTGTATTTTGTTAGAGTTTGCGTGAGCTAGATAAACGTGCCAGACTTCTAAATGAACAGTAATGAAACCGGCATTTGGAATATTTCTTCTTTCTGCAGAATGACCAGATACGCTCTGCAGATTGTGAGGAACACAACCAAAGGATGACAGACAGTTAGGATAGAAGTAATTCCCCGCCTATAGGAGAGAGGGGAGCGGAGACCTTAATGGAAGAAATAATGGCTACAGGCATTTCATTTATTTATGAAATGCTTTGATCTAAAGCAATGAACATTTTTTGAGAGAAAGCAGCAGAAAGCAGTAACGGCCTTCGCCCTGCTGACTTCGGGATTTGAACCAGCAATCCCACACCGGGATTTGAACCAGCAATCCCACACCACCCCCATTAATATCCGAGGCTGGTGTCCCCCCCGAGGAGCTGGTGGAGGTAGCTGGGGAGAGGGAGGTCTGGGTGCCTCTCCTGAAGCTGCTGCCCCCGCGACCCGAACCCCGGACAACCGGCAGATGATGGCTGGATGGATGGATGGATATTTTAAAATTTTATCGTCACCTTTGTCTGACCATTACGAGCAAGATCTGCTCCCCCGAGGTGTTACGATAAATCACTATGTTTCAATATAATTTACAGCCAAGCAGCTCAGAATAATTTCCTTTAAAAAAATAGTTATCAAAGCAATCAGTATTATGTCATCCAGAAACTCTCATATGTTTATTATACATTTAAAGCAAAAGGTCTTGATTTTGTGTCTTTTCACGTTTTAATAATTAGGACAGCATATTACTCACAATGTCCTGCTTTAGTCTTGCTATTGGTTTAGCAACACAGAAATACTCTAGGAAACTTGGCAAATGATATTACACACATTTTCCCAAATAAATAAAGACCACTAACTAAACACCTTATATCTTGTTCACAAAGGAATAGTTAAAGTCATGAGTCTCCCAGATTTAATACTGAAAAATACATTTGGAAATATGCCTATAGAATTCCCCTGCAGATATAAAGCACAAAGCTTGGGAATGATACTGTTAGGACAGACTGATTATGCCAGGGATGTTCAGCTACGATTTCCCTCAAACTTACCTGCACTGGCCTGCCATCTTCGGTGCCGATCATGCGCCTCCACTCCAGCAGGGAGCGCTGTAAGTTGTCCAGCCCGGTTTCCCAAAGCCGGAGACAGCCGCCCATGTCCACTGTCACAACTCCAGCGTTACCCATTGGAGCCAGGAGTACATCCGTGTCAGACACCTTGGACAACCAGCTGGTGTAGGGAGAGAGTGTCATGGACCTGGGAAAAAAATTTGGGAAGCAAAAAAACTCAAAACAGTTTAATAAAAATCACACATTTTTTTAAAGGTAAGGCACTCTGCCAAATACACCATCAAGTGACAGAAAATTGTCACTGTGTCACTATAACAGCTACTAAGAAAAACATGTTCTTTTTATTTTACTCTACTGGCCACATCAAGCTGTTTGCTGATTTCTCTGTGTAAAAAAAGATTTTTTTTAAAGAAAAAATGCGCACACACAACATAATGCTGTAGGATAGTTTGGGGGCCCTAGTTTCCACAAAAGCAGCAATACCATTAGACCTGTAACTGAACTGGTCACAAAAATACAAAATATAGGCTTCTCTGAAGGGTGTTTATGACATATGATACATGTTGCCAATCAGATACCTTGGAACTGGAATGTACTTGACCTTCTTGGAGTTAAGGTCTGTCACTTCCAAATAGGCAGCAGTCATTGGGGGAGTGACATCTGTGTGGACACATAGCAAGACTCATGATCGTTTCTGACGAGCTTCACAAAATCTGTACAGTACTCCTGACAGTAGAGGGTCTAGGTGTCAGAGGTCCGAGATTCAAGCGTTGGTCGGCTGAAGAACGTGCAGCGATAACACTAAAGCCCCAATGAAAGGCTATACTGATTCATTCTAATTACTACACTGCATCTTGCAGCACTGTGGCTTAGTTAGGTAAAGCATCGATCTAGTAAACAGTTCCTGGGTTTAAATCCCAGCCATGTCTTTGATCAACCGTGAAAACCCTTAGGGTCGTCTCCCATCAGAGGTAATGGGTAGCTGAAGAGGTGAGGAGGCTGTGCCCAGGATCGGGAGGTCACTGGTTTGAATCCCAAGGTCAGTGAATTACTTTCACCATTTGGCCCTTAAGCAAGGTTAGTAACCCCCCCCCCCAATTCTACATATATTTGTAGATGTGCTAAACAAATGATGACTATTATGCATGTACGGTAACGCTTTACATTAAGTGCACCTTCATAATGCATTCATAGAACATTCAGTGCACCTTCATAATGCATTCATAGAACATTCATAAGCAGCATGCAAGTACACCTTAACATCCTAACATCCCTTAACAGATTTAATTTACATTAATAACAAACATTACATGCTTATAGAATTATAATGTTATTATGTAATGTTTATTATTAATGTATATCACAGCAGTTAAGGGATGTTAGGATGTTAAGGTATACATACATGATGTTTATGAATGTTTTATGAATACTTAATGAATACATTATGAAGGTGCACTGAACGTTTTATGAATGCAATATAAAAGCATTATGAAGGTGCAGTTAATGTAAAGCGTTACCAAATATACTATAGAAATTAGTCCTATGATGTACAGAAAGTCAAAAAATCAGACCACCTGTCCTAGAGTAAGTGTACGGGACTAAGCGGGTGTGTAAAGCAAGGAGGATTCTGACCTTTGGGGTAGATGTCAGACAGCGGTACGTCTCCCGGGGGCAGGGCCCGCACCACCTGATTGGCTCCCAGAAGGGTCACGCAATTCACCCTCTTGGCTGGTCCTGAACGGCGACTCCCACCGAAGAACATGTCTGCCCCCGTCTCAGTGCCCAGGGGTGACTGTCTCTTAAAGCTGTAGGTTTCACTGGGCGACTGGTAGGACAGTCAGGAACAGGAATATTAAATTAAATTCGCTTCCTCACAGACCACTACTCACTCCCCGTAGGACAGTATAACGAGGAGCAGAGCAGAAATGTGTAGCCATCTCTTGAAGATTTGCTACATCCTTGGTAGCAAATCATAAAGAGATCAGTTCATTTGAATTAATAACTGCATTAAATTTACTACTGCTTCACTAGGCAGTTTAGGAAGTATATCAAAGTGAGTTGTCAAGGCTTAATTTTCTAGTTTATTGGTGCAGCACATATATTACAGAGCAGATACGTTTACACAGAAATAATCTGGAGAGTGTTACCAATAAATCTCACAGAAAAAAAATGTGACTATAATTTTGTGACATTAGATCTCACCATGAGGTCAGGGAAGCCCACTATTAGAGTAGCGAAGGAGTTGGCATCACAAAGCACTCGATTGGGAGAGGATATTTTCTGTCCCAGAGCTGAACTCAGATTCTCAGAGGGCAGTTGGTCACTGGATATTTCTTGTGGAATATCCCTTTCTACCCCTGAAGGAAAAAAAAAACAGCTTGGAATATTCTGGGCCAAAAAAACAGCTCAACGTTCAGTTTTCTCATGATTGGCCCAAGAAAATGGTATTTTTATTACACCACGTGTTTTGAGCAGGAATTTAAAGTCTTTTACCATTAGCCTAACACATAATTCGGTAAATATTCATTACATCATGGCACTCCCTGGTGAAGTTCAAGATGGATTTGAGGCTCTCCAGTGTGTCTGGGGTGGCCATGCGTCACCATCACTAAGCAGTCATATCGGGGACACATCAGCCTTTCCCGTTGACCTTTTTGTTCATCTTCACAAGTGGTAACAAATCATTGTGAGGCAAGTGCTGACACGAGTGCGGCTGGCATTTCTGAGAAGCTGTACTGGACACTGGCTTCTTCAAGATAGTCGAAAAAAAAATTCCTGAAGGTCGTTCGCTTAAATATATACATATAAAACCAATGTGGTTATGTGCAATAAAAAAATCAATCATTTCCAACGATGAACATGAAGTAAGAATTATGTCCCATAAACGAGCTGCAGGGAAGCAGACCAGCTCAGCATCAATCACGTCCTCATGCAGCACAGCGCAGTCCCCATGACACTGGCGTCACGGTAACGGGGCAGTAATTCTCGGAGGGTCACCCTTTGATCATACAGGCTACATTTTTACACCTATATCCTAAAAAATCATTCGCACCTCAAATAATCACTGATAAACACAGAAAGATACTGAGCATCATTCAATAACAGTGGTTAAGTACTGGTTCGCCATTTTCACTAATCCGTTTCATTGAATACACACTAAATACCGCAATAAACTTGTTTCCACCTTAATATAAAATGAGGAGTATTTCAGTTTTGGGACAGCACCGATTGCTGGTAATGTAGAAGAAACAATGCAACAGTGTTTCTACCTGCAAACACAGCCGTAGTTAAATACCTAGACAAAGGTTAACCACTCGGGGAGTATAAGTTACCTGAGGTCATCCCAAAACCAGTGCTGACAGCATCCTCAGTGACAGCGTGCAGCTGACAAATCCCAGAATCCTCTGCTCCCATGTGCATAGGCTTGGTTAACAGGAACTTCCTGTTATATAAATACAGTTAAAAAATGGAATTACTGTTATTGAACTAGCGACAGTGGAAAAGGAACACAGCAGAAAATACCACTACAAGAAGAGTGCCATTATTCCTCCTTAACATAGTTTACTCTGCAGCTTATAAATTATGAATTTGTTCGTGCATGTATTAAACAACTGGAGAGCTTCACATCCAAACAAACTGAGGCAGTTTCCATGGCGTGCTACTCTTAGAAGACAAGAGCTTACAGATGCTGTTTCCACTAAAACTTATTTCTGCTGTCATATAGTGTTTCTATGGAAAAATAGTAAAGTTTAGAAAGTCTAAGGAGTTGATCCCACAGTGTGTCAATGATGATCTCTTGGGTAACCACTTGTGGGGGTGTGGCTACGAAATAATGAACTGCAGTGATTGGGTTAAAACTTGAGAGCCCATCAGGTGTCTATTAGTTAATTATGATAGTGAGATTGGTTTGCCTTTATAAACAACTGTTTGCACTCTGGGAAACATAGAGTGATGAAGGCAGAGAATTCTGAAGGCAGAGTGCTGAAATGTCTCTGTTCACCCCTGGTGGAGCTACAGTAGAAAGAACGTAAGCCATTGGAGTCCGGACCCAATCCTCATTTTTTTCGATTTTATTGAATTGTCTACAAACCAGTGTTACCAATCAGGGTTGGGGCCATTCCGGAATGCATTCATCAATTCCAGTGCAAATCAGAAAACAGAACTAGAGTTGGGACTGGAAAAAAAAACTATGGGGACCAGAATTGGAATTCTAATTTCAGTTTCATTTCCTGATTTGGTTTGGAACTGACGAATGCATTCCGGAATGGCCCCATCCCTGGTTTCAATCATCTGAGAAGGCAGAACATTGTGCTTTAAGTCTCTTTCCGGTACATTACTTGAGATACAATGAACCTACTTGTCAGTCTTGTTCTCGATGATCAGCCATCGGTCCTCAGCTACCAGGAAGACGGCTTTAAGCTTTATGGGCAGGGAGATCGTGTGGAGCCGGCCTTCCAGAACATCCAACACATCCAGCCGATTGCTGTCCAAAACAGAGTAGTGTCCACACTATGCTATACACTCAGACACAAGGGCGTCAATAAGCAGGGTTAGCATGGAAAAAAGCTCACCTGTCTTCTCTGTAGAACAGAAGCCAGTTTTTATGGGCAAATTCCCGGCACATTTTAAATGACTAGAAGAAAATAAACCAAGATGCTTCATATTTAAAGCACAACTTTGTGAAAACTATTTCTAGACTTTGCATTTTTCAGATTTAGGGGCAAATGTGGATTAAAATTAAACAAAATTGGTGAATGCAGTTTTCCGTCTGTGATGAACTGAAAATTAAAAAACAGCAGTTTTTAGACATCAAGGTAATACAGCATAAACATAATGATTAATGCTGACTGTGAGAGGAACAGCATTAAAGTGAAGGTAATTAGCATTGTCTCGAAGCATGACTGTATTGTCAGTATTGCTGGTCATCACCCGATTCTCCTTGCTCATCCACCAATTAGAAGATTTCTTGGACGGCTCCTCCTTCTCCTGAGAGAGCAGCAGTCGTCGTACAGCCCCTGTTACCAGGTCCAGGTACAGGACGGTGTTACTCTGTGAGATGGAAAAAGTCGAGTGAGTTTGAAAGACATGTATTCATTCATCCGTTCATTCATTCATTCCCTAAAATGCTTATAAGGTCATATTTTAATGTGTAAGACTAGAGTAAATACTACCTGAAATCACCAGCAGAGGGGGCCAAACCTTAACATGCTTATTAGAATTTTTTTGTTTATTTCAGGGATGATTGGGGCCATGATTGTCAGAACATATTTTTAGCGTTTACTTGAGACCTTCCTAGGGCCACAGCATGAGTGGCCCTTCAGCGCATCTGTCAGTGATGCGAGTTTGCCATAAATTATGACTATCTGGAAAAATACTATATCGAAATAAAAACAAAAGCATCATTATCCTTACTCTACGAATGCCATTGCTAATCTCCAGCCTTGTGAACCCAGGATTCTGTCAGTCTGTGCAAATCCTTCGCTAAACAGACCTTAATTCATGACGTCATCTGCTACATCTTCAAATTACTCTAACATGGAAGGCAAGTCAACCCAAGGAACCTCCTGGCCTCCTTTGGTCTACATGATTTTTGCATGGCTTCAGTGACACACGACGTTCACTCTCTGTGATATTAATAGAAGGTCTGCATCACCATCAAATAAATTTGTCGGTTCTGGCAATCTGTCAGGGACAACGACCACCGTGTTCAGTTTGGGCTTTGTTTTTTCTGCACTGGGACAGCCGTGACCCCTGGATGAACTGCTCGTGATGTCTGGAATTCCATGCTTTGGACAGAAGTAATAAGTCAAGTTTTTTTCCCTGTTTTTTTTTCCAGAGATATTTTTAGAATGTTCCTTCTTATATAATACACAACAGCTGTTTTTCTGAGAGTATCTTTTCTTAATTTGTTCCTTGTGCGTACTTCTGTTCTAAAACCTTATTAGGCAAGTCAAGTGCTATGGAACAGATAAATTGCAAAATAAGGCCTTGTTGTTGACTCTTCTAGTGTCCGTGTGTGCAGGGCTGGCAGGAAGGAGGAACTGAAGGATAGAGATCCATGGTGTGATGGACCAGTCCTATGTAAGGCACAGGTTCCGGTCTCCGGGCCACAAGAGACCCCACCACGCTATTCTAATTTCGACCACACGAGGCACTATTCACTCAGCTCCTTCCTCATATTGTGCAAGATGAGTTCTATTTAAACACATGGCTTAAAGCACATGTCATATGCTTGGCTAAGATGCCCTTCCATCATCAGGTCGTTAACAGCCCTTAATAGCATCTAATGGAATGCTTTCCGACAGTCATCAAAAAATAAAAGCAGTTTTGTGTGTGACAGTTAGAAACTAAGTTAGGTACAGCGAACTCGATGCACAGATTTCCGTCACAGTGTCCACGTAATGTAGCTGTATACAGCCACTGGTCAATTGACGGCAAATAAAATTTACCATTTTTTTTTTACCTGAAGTTAAATGTCAGGTAGGGTAACAGGATTTAAAAATGTGTACAAATACTCATGCTCTTCTGTATTTTCCCACAGAAGAAAAAATGCTAGCCCAATTGAGCGGAAAATAGCCGAGGTTAGTACTGCTGCTCACACTGCTTGTGACAACGCCGTTTGATTTTAAATTAAAACAGTGACCCAGCCACTAATTATAAACTGCGAACCCTGTGCTATTTTCATTTTTTAGGTCTTGGTGCTGAACACGGATTTCTGGGGCTGTGCTCATTGCATCTCACACGCTCCCGATGGAGAATAAACTAAATGTTCGCAACATTTACTACACGGGCTTTTAGATGATTGTTTTAATCAAGGGTGTTTGTTTTTTCAGACCACATCATCAGCCCAGTAAGTGTAGATGTGTAAACATACGGCGTGACGTGACTACGTTCGAACCGAGAGCCGTGCGAAGTGGAGTCACACCTGCTCCTCGTGCAACACCATCTGGCCTTCCAGCGGGTTGCCTAGTGCAGCCACGATAACGAAGGGTTGCCAGACACCACTGAGAGTGCGGGGGATGACATCATATAGGTCCATGTAGTGGATGGTGTCTCCACTTCCCCTCATGGCGTACAGGGACACTGGGTTGCATGTAGCCACGTATATAGAATCTGAAAGACATTTTTAAGAAGCTTTTCATGAAGGTCACCACCGACAAAAAAGGAGATCAAGTTTCCTCAGTGCAGGGACTTACCTTTGTCAGTGGTGACATCACAGATTATGTTGACGTCATTGATGGGGATCTGCCAATGGCTTTGCTCCTCACTGAAGCTCAGTGCTCTGGATTCATGCCTCTCAAGGGGGTATGCCTGGACTCGCAGATACACTGGGCCCTGAGACACGAGCATTCATCAGCACCGAGTCAAGGTAACCCAACAAAACACACCTACCATGAAGTACACATCATGAACTACAGTCGCTACTTGAGATAAAACATGCATCACGATTCATTAATGATGAACAAACAAGTGATCAGCATTTCACATGTGTTATTCATGACTTGTTCCTTCAGTAGTTCACAAAGGTTTATAGAATTAATAGATATAGTAACAAATATAGTAACTGCTTGAGAAAAGTTGCAGCACAATTTATTAATGAATTTATTAATGAATGAACATGACATCAGTATGTAACTAAGACTTAGTTTGTGGTTAATTAATACATAAGTAATAGCATGATACTACTGTATATTATTTGTGCCCCATCTTATAAAGTGGTACCAAGTATTCTGTTCACAGTGAAGCACAATGACCAGGTATTTATTACATTTCACAATAGAAGTTTCTAAGACCAAACCTAATCCCTGGCACATATTTAAGGCCTTTTTCTACCTTCACGTCGATTGGGCTGGACTCTGTAGGACACAGCAGCTTGCGCCTGACACTCCCAGACTGGTTTATGGTCCAGTATCCCGTCATTCGGCACTCAGGTAATGCCAACCTGAAAAAAGCCACAACATCAGCCCCATTTCATGGTGCACAATCTTGGTTTTTTTTTCTTCTTCTTCATATGCAACATGCAGCCAATACAACAAATGTCAAATTATGCATTAATAGGTGCTGGCTAGTTAAAAAATAATTTAAAAGGAAAAAAAATATATATATATATATATACACACATATATGTGTGTGTGTGTGTGTCTCTACACAAACATATATGCACATATAAGATATTTTATGTATATATATATAAATATAGTATATACACACGTATGTATTTGTATATACACGCACACACATGCATATATACATACACATAATTTAACTTTTATTTACTGATCTATCTAAAACAGACCAATGATACTGATAATGATTAAATAATGTATCTATTACAAGTTAATTAGAAAAGAAATGCTGTGTAAGTCAGTATTATACAATAATGATCCGCTGCAATGAAAAAAAATGTCAGATAATCCTTCCAAAGCTACCAGACCCCCCCCCCGCAGAGTAAGATGTAAGCCTTTCCTGATCTCTGCTCAGAACAAACACCCCCTACTGAGTTTAGGATTGATTCCAGCCATTGTGACTAAATTGCTGTTTACTGTTTTTTTTTTTTTTAATCCTCTTTTTTTCAGAAGGAGCAAACTTGCTTTTCTTAGGAATGATAACTGAGTGTAAAAACAAGAACACCATAACTGCTTTTGGCTTTACCCCAAACTGGATATAACTAACAAAATAAAAGTTGACAGGAAAATCTGCCCAAAAAAAGCTTTTCCAATTTGTCCTGTCGACATCTTGATGAGTGCATGGAATGTTCTTAATATACCTTAGAAAAACTGTCAAGCCCTCCGAGTATTTGGATAATGATAGATCCCCTGAGGATATTCATGTATGTGTAATTATTTTATTGTCGTGTGTCTGTTCTAAGGAGGATGACTCCACACCCTGGTTAGCTTTTCTCTTCTGCTCATTAATCTGATTTTACTGGGGTGATCATCCTAAACCACTGGCTCCCTGCCCAGGGGCGCAGAAGGGGGAATGGAAACCTTGACAGATTCAGGGGGCCCAAAACGCATCAGGGGCCCCTGAATACGTAGAACCGGGTGCAGGGGCCAAAGGCGAATGTCTAGCTACCCCCCCCCCGTCCGTCCCTGTCTAGAAAACATAAGAATAAAATTGTACAAATTTGCTTTCCAAATCCAAAACACATCACACCAAATAAACTTATGCGTCTTCATCAAAAAAAAAATACTTGTTTCTTTTCTGATTAGTTCTTACAAATACACTTAAGGATTAATGAAGAAAATATCACTTTTAGTGATGTCGTATATCAGTACACAATCAAATCACAGAGAAAATACAGGAGACTGAAGAAACAAATATTTTCCTTTATTCAAAGAAAACTATACAGTGAAATGAACGCAAACCCTTCAAAAAGGACTTGCTTAACTTCCTTGTTACGCAAAATAAAATAATTATTCTGAAAATCAAAGTGTGCAATAGACACCTGTCTAATTGGTTACCTGCATCTCCACACAACTGCTGTTTAAACAACTTCACTTAAATGTCAATTTTAAGTAAAGGCTATAGACAATGATGTTCAGTTCCTGGAATAAAGTTGTGTTTTGTCCACAACATCCCAGACTTTATCCAGAATGTTATTCCAGTGCAGGTAAAGGTTAGCTTATCGCAAATGTGTCCACGTTACTGCCTGAATGAAAAGACTGGACACCTCACATCTGGATACTTAGCACATGGCTGTAGACTGACAGCAGGGAATGTGTATGTTGATATTGTACTGATTTCTGCTGGACGGCTCGGGACTGTTTACATCGATCCACTCATCACTGTCATCTGCAATCTAGGCAACAGTGATTTATACACAGAGTGGGACAACCTACAAAGTATAATTTCCAAAGGGGCTTCTTAACAGTATTTATACTCCATTTATAGCACAGTATATCACCGCAGGACTAAATGCACCGATTCAATACGTCATATTACCTTTCATACTATAATCACTGACATATAATCAGCAGCAACGATGCGAGTTTATGTATCAGCAGCAGATCTTGCTAATGGTTCTTAATGCCTTAAGAAGTACAGTTTTATTGTTATATTTCTCCTATTGCTGACCGACAAATTAGCTGGAAATGCAACGACTACTGTGAGAAAGACTCCAATAATGAGGTCACAGCTGTCCTGATTGGACCGTGCCACGGGACACATTGTAAACATTTCTGTCAAAATGATGCATTTTCAAGTACTCTCTCTACCTCATCCAAATGCCCTGCCGTACATAAACAGCGAACGACGCCTTTAAGAAATACTTTTAAACAGTCTTGGGAGTCTTTGGGTCTGACCCCCAAAACCCTCTCTCTCGCCCATCGGCCCGTGGCAGTAAAGTGAGTTGCCCTTACTCCTTAGCCAGGTTCACGCTGGTCGGCTTGGCCCCGACTGGAATGCCGTGCTTGTGTAAGGCCGTGATCAGGATCTCCCGCGTCTCCTTGTTGTAGGAGTCGAAGTCGAAGACGTTGCGCACCACGTTGGCCAGTCCTTCATCTGGAAATTTCTTTTGCGGGAGAGAGGAATGACAACACACGGTTTTGGTTAAACTGACCGGCGGAAAGGCATCGGCGACTACATGCTTTACCAGTGAACACGTGCACGTTTAATCCAGCATCACACCATAAAAGTCAGCACAGTCCTGTTCCCTGACGTGGGCCCTGTGCCCTGAGTTAATCGCTCCTTTCTCAAGCAAACAAAAAGCCTGGAAAACAGGCCGCGAGACCCAATCCCTGAAGAAACAGCTGGTTTTTTTCATTCATTCCAGTCTCCGCTGGGATAACAGAAGCAGATACTGCTTGGATGTGGGAAGGGGTGACGGCAATACAGGTGGTATCTCCAGTAATGATTAATGTCCCCAGCCGCAACATGGACCAGTTGCCATGGTGATGAGCATCCTGTGAAGAAGACTTTTGTAGTTCGTAGAAGATTCACAGTCCTGGTATTCATACACATGACTAAACCAATATTGATCTTTTCTAATCCTGGCCTAAAAACACTCAGACAATAAATAACAGCGACACAATTTCTATATCAATGAGGCACAACCTTTCCTGGTTATTAAAAAAGGAGACACACACACACACACACAGACCTGTATTCATATCAAGGTGAGGGGACCATCCATTCATTTTTATGGGCAAAACCCTAATCCCAACAATGACAACCTTAACCCCTACCCAGCCTTAACCTTAACCATAAATAACCAAACAAAATACAAGTCTTTTGGCATTTTTAGTTTTTTATAAAATTGAATGTCAAAATAACAGGTTTTTATGACATTGCTGTCACATTGTTCCCCACAATGTAATGCATACCTGTACCACACACACACACACACACGCACACACACACACTCACACACACAAACAATAAGCTAATAAATCAGATGCCATTTTGTCAATCAAACTACAAAGAGCAGAGCAGATCTCCTTATTTCCCAGCAAAGTTCTACATTGGATTCAATCAGCTTCCAATCACCACGGAGGCTAAAACTAATAAGCTCCTGTGTTTCGTCACTAGCGCAGCGGAGAGCAGGAGAGGTTGGTGTCAGACCTCTTCTTCTGCTTCAGTGGATATCGATCTGGGACTATGCAGGAGATCAACTGTGTTCACAAGATTCTCCAGACCCATCAATAAGGAAGCTGGCATTTAACAAAGTGCTTATAAATAACCTTTCACACAGAGTAGAAAAAAGTGATCTGAAACTGCTCACAAGAAGAAAAGGGCATTATTTTTTGCACTACTATTTGACTACCCTGCAACGGAACTGTGATTCAGTGAGCTGGATGCAAAGAGGGAAATGCAGATCCATCCATCCATCTTCTGTAACTACTTGTCCTATTCAGTATTGTGGGGAGGTCTGGAGCCTATGGGTGCAAGGCAGGGAATAACTCAGGTGTCAGGGTCAGCTCCCATCTAACCCAGCCATTTGTGTCTCTTCCCCGTTTGGCCAGCAGGGGTCCCTGGCCATCCCGTTCCGTCACTCCTTGTCAAACCCTTGTGTGTTTTCTCCAGGTTCCCTGGGCCTCCTTCTAGCTCAGTGGGTTTAGTGTATGGCCCCAAGGCCATAACCGTGCAGTTTTGGGTTCAAAGCCAGTCCCAATTGTTTATTGGTTTTCTCTAGTGTTTTAGTTTTGTTTATCCTATGTTGTATACGGGTTAGTTCTGCTCTGCTTGTGTTTGTGTTCCTAGTCTCTCCTAAGATTAGCCCTCATTTGTGTGAATGTTATTGTGTTAGATGTTACTCTGTGTTTGAGATTCTACCTGGTACTTGTGATATACTGTTTCCTTGTTTGGTTACTTTAGGGCTTTTATAGTTCGTTCTTATTTTCCCCATTTGTTTTTTGACCCCATCGTGGTCCTTTTGTTTTGTAGTTTTACCCTGTGTGTTTAGTTTCCTTAATAAACCCCAATTTGTCTTGGAGCCGCTAGTGGATTGTCACCTTTGTCCCTCCTGCGCCATGTTGCGCTGTAACACCCAGGAAGGGGAGCCAACCCGTCTCATCAGAAAAGCAGAAAATGTTATAAAATGTATTAAAAATATAAAACAAATCACAACTTCAGTTATGGGTGTTAAAGCCCACAGTGTTTTCCATTTCTACCCTCAGAACACCTGCAAATTTTTGTAATAAAAAAGGCAGAAGGTTTGAATTCCTACTGAACTTGATTATTTGACCAAAGAACAAATCTTCTTCCAACTGAAAAATAACATTAGTGTTTATTGGTTATTTCAATGAGAATTCTGCCATAAAATCCTATTTTAAGGATTTTTAATATTATTTTAAAATGTCTATAAACCCACAATCTGACCGTGCTAGGCACTGTATTGCCCGTGATCAGTTTTTAATGAGCTGTTACTTGGTTCACAGACACCTTAGGCAAACAATTTTATTTTTTTGTCCTTCACGTCTTACACGGATGGTCTGTGAATATGCTTCGCAAAGATGCTGTCTGCCAGAAATCTTCCCTGGCGTGGAGGGGTGAGGAGGGCCCCAAAGTAAAATCAAGATGGGGGGGGGGCACTCCAGGGACACTGTGCAAAGAACGACAGCCCCGCATTGTGGGTGTCATCGGGGGAGTGAGTGGGCTGACAAAGGCATGCTTTGTTTACATGAATCACACCGTCCATAACTGCCTGAGCTTGTCTGCTTATAAGGACTTAGGCTCGGGGACAGAATCTCTTGATGGTTTGTTACCTCCAAAAAGCCTGAAATGTAGCTAGACATTAAATTATGCACTAAATTATACCAGAGTGAAAAAAATAAAATAATAATCAGGGATGCACTTAACCAGAGGTGGAAAGTTCAGGTCCAGAAAGTACAAATCCAGACCAAGATTTTGTTTCAACCAACCAGTTGAGTGCTGTGTGACTGTGACTCATTATGGTTGAGACAAAATCTTGGTCTGGACTTTCTGGACTTGACCTTTCCACTTCTGCACATAACTGGTACGCAAGTACACATTCACCTTTAAAAGCGATACTTGGGGCAATCGATTGTTGCAAAAGCGCAACTGTGTATGCATTTTATGTGCATTTGTGCTGCTATGACAAGAAATTACCCTGCATTTTAACCGTTATATGCTAATTCGTACTTCATTTGCGGTATAAAGGTTAAAATGCACGATAATTACTTGTCATAATGGTGCAAATGCACATACGCATTTGCGCTGTTACAACAATCGGCTGCGGCATGGATCGCTCTTAAAGGTGCATATGCGTACTTGCGTACCAGTAATTTGCATGACTGATAATAATACATAAACACTGAACTGTCAACAGCCTGGTTTGTGCGTCTGTAATCCTACCTGCAGATGTTTAACGATGTTGACCACCTCCCTGGTGGAGTAAGGGTACGTGATGGTCCCCTGGTCTGCCATCGCCCTCAGCTCTCCAAAGGTGGCCACCAGCTTCTGCAGGACAGCGTCCGGGACATCGGGCCCATACTGTTTCAGCATAGCTAGCTCTGCATGGGGTTTGGGGTTGTCTACGGCATGGCAGCTGAAGATGTCTCCTGGAAAACAAGCCAGATTACAGGTGAGCTTCACACTTCAGCCACCAGACAAGAGCAAAAATATTCATCTTCCATCATTCTGGCAGTGCCTTTCCAAAAACATTACCTAGTGCGCCAAAGAAGTCGTTTCCCAGGAATGGAAAGCCGGGTCTGTTGGCCAAAACAATCATCCTGAAATCAGGATGCATCACAATAATGTTGGGTCTCCCCTCTGCGTCTCTGGGATCTGGAAATAAAGACCGTCCAATATAACTATTTAAAAGATGTTTTTGCACTCAAAGTTTTCCTTGATCGGCAGCGTAACATAACGAAAGAAAATGACTGCAGGAGTGTAGTCGCCTTACTTGAAATGATTCTCCTGCCGTCGGCGAGAATCATCTCTCCATTCTCCACCAGAGTCTTCAGGATGCAGGTGACATTGGTTGGCGCTTTGTCTGCCTCATCGATAACCAGGATGTGGCCCATCTTTACGGCCCTCACCTAGGTGGAAAGGAACACAATAACAGAGAGCTTACGGTCGGGTGTAGAGATTGAAATGACGTAATTAAAGGACCCTTACGTTGGCTTCTGTCAATGGCAAATGAAAATCTATTTAAAAATGCTAGGTGCCACATCGAAAGTGACAGAAATGCAACTGAAAATAGATACTTCCCTTGCTTAGTCATTCTTCATTAACCAGGCCGCAGACTTTCTGGTAATAAAAAGCAGTATCGCTAATTTATAGTGCAAATATCATAAGCAGCAGGATGAATCTTTTGTCGAGATGCTGTTGCAGTACCGGAGCTCTCTGGAGCTGCGAAATCAGAAGGGACTTCCGTCCAGCATCAAAGCCGACACTATTAATACCCAAAGAGCTTCAGCTGGGTGCTAATTGAAGTGACACACGGAGGCCTTGGGAGAAGCTTTTATCTCACCTCACCGTCTTTGTGGCGCTACGATCATTAAAATGCATTTAGAAAGGACACCCACCTTGCCAGTCTTAAAACATCGGTAATAAATGCCACTGTCAGTGAATAGGAGTGTATTTACAGTAGGATCAAAATGAGCGCTGTACCACCAGTCAGACACAGGCATATAAAAGGCCAGAGATGGGTTATTTATAATTTAAATGTTTTATTTTAATGGAACCAGTAGCTAGTTTAAGTTGACTGGCGATGTTTTCTTTGCCAAATAAATGTAGTACATATAATCTCTGGTGAAACAGGAAGAACATGTAATCAAGACATTTCATTTTCTGACAGGAGAGAAACTGCACCTCATTGAAAGGACTTAAGTGCCAATTTACGTGTAACGTGCTGCCACAGGCAAAGTTAACGATTTAAGGAAGGACACCTACCAGGGGCGAATCTTCATAAATGATTATTCCGTCTCGCACGGAGGGCTGCAGCGTGAGCGTCTGAACTGTAGTGTCTCTGGTGGATAAGAAACGGACCAGTGAAACTCACGCGTGCGACTTCATCGCCGAGGTATTAATTACTACATTAAATAGGATTCCTTCCAAATCTGTCTGGAACTTTAAACCTTCGACCCAGTATTGACAGCGCCCCATGAGATGAATCTATTAAACACAACCCAGATTCATTCTAACGGACACGGCCATCTCTCAGTAGAGCTGATAACTAGGAGAATCCCTGAAGTGATTGCTTTAGCCCTGATATTAAGGCATTTTTTAACATATCTATCCAGGACAAAGCAACATGTGGTCTCAACTTTCAAAAAACCTTCAGGAGTGGAAAATAACCTTCATGAGACGACGAGGGTTGTAATATCAGAGCTGGATCTGGGCAGCTGGCGACATGGTGATGGCCTGTTTACACACGTTTGCCATAATCCTCCAAATCTTTCATTCTAAACACAGCTAGACCCAACTGTCAAAAAATGTGTGGGCATCCTGTATTAATTCTTTATTTTATGGAGAGTGTCATCAAAGTGGTCACCCGAGGCAGGTTATTCAACAAATATCACTGCAGTAAGATAAGTAACACATAATAAGTACAACTATAATAATACAATAAATGATATTTCATTTAACTCAGTCAATGCAACACTGTGATAGGACTTCATGGAGGAAAAGAACATTGCACCTGATCCGTGTGTGATAACTCGTCATGTGCTTTTGCAATCCACGCGCTTCACACTGCATTCGCACTGCACTCACACTGCATTCGCAGAAAAGCGGTGAGTAGCAGCCAGCAGTCACCCTCCAGACCTCAGGAATGTAATTACCACTGCATGAACTAACGTTACAGTTCCTTCTGAAGAATGGCACTTTTGTTAAAATGCACCGAGCAGTGAAGAAGACGAAAACAAACAAAAAAAAATCAGAGATCTTAGGATACAGTCAACACTGAAGGACTAGAGTCTAGGTAAACCATTATCCTAAGAATTAAGTGGCGATAACGTGTTAGTGAGTCTTTTGGAGAAGCTGTATATGTTTACAGTTAACAGCCATGTACTACAGAAACCAATTTGCAGTAACTTAAGATAATTGGTCGCAACTTTCAGACATATGTGGTCGTGATCTCAGCGTTCTAAACAAACGATTTTGTCCTGCAAAATCAAATGAACAAACACAGTAAAATGCACACCTTTCTGCATGGGTAAATGTAAATTACCCTTTACAGCAGGGCAGAGTATATAATCATAAGCAAACATGGTTATTATAGACATAGTGTGGATTTAGTGCATCTCAGAAAATGTCGAGGGGCAAATACTCCATTCAAGGCCAATCAGACAGACACCAGCCTTTTCTAATTGCCGCCTTTCCTACCAATTTACAGTTAATAATAGCTGTCTTTCAAAAACAAAAGAACTTCATCTTCATAGTTGCAATTCCCCGTGCCCCCTAGACAGGTGTCCTAATTTATTAGGGACAAAAATAATTCACTTTACCCTTGCAAAGACAAGAAAGGAGTTTTTTTAATGCAAAAGCCCAGGCCCAGCTGCATGTGGGTGAGTTAATCATCTCTTTTTATAGATATGTCTATTTTTGTGTACTGTGATACCCGCGTGCTGTTTTCACGGGAGAGGGGGCTTGAGTAAGTGTTAAAAGAACAGCTTTTTTTCAAAAGGATGAATTATTCTCCTTTAATTAAAAGCCATCCTTCAAAAAGCATTTCATTTATTTCCATTCGATTTATAATACAGCTACAAAGCAGTGGGAGTGCATGTGTGAAACGTATGAACATCTATTCCAGAAAACCATCCCCACTCTGTAACGAAAATAACTCAGTTTTAATTATAAAGCACGTCGATCTTAGCTGTTCATTCTACAAGAAGATACTGGCAATCTGGCATCTACATTAACTACATGGAAAAAGGAGTTACAGAAAAAGTATGAATGGTTTTCAGGCCATAAAGGTGGTCTCGTTACCTGTGAAGCTGCAGGTATTCTCTTGGTCGGTTCATTAAATGCAGAAATCGGTCTACAATCTTGTTCTTCCCAACACCCTAATGTAAACAGCAACCAACAGCGTTCACTGGAATTAACACATACTGCATGATTAGAAAGACTCATAACGTAACATTTAGAATCCTTATCAGGTGATGCTATTGCTGATTTTGTTGTATGAAGAAGTCCCACATTTATAATAACCAGAACATTTAGTATTATCTGTTTTATTAAGGCCAAAATATCTATTATTTTTTGCTCATGCATCATAATGTAACGCAAACACATAGAAAAATATTACATATATGCTAGAGTCACATAAGGGATGTCAGTCTTAACGACCTGAATGAATGAATTCTATATCATTTCACAAATTACGGTCTTAATTAATGTGTTAATCAGTGGCAACCCAAAAAAAAAAAACCATTATAATCTTGTACTGGCCATTTTCGTAATTTCAAGTCCTACCTCTTCTGATCTGTGTATGTTGAGTAAGTCAATTATTCAGAGTATCACTGTCATAGGAGGCGAAGATTGGTAGTGGATCACATACTGCCCTTCCCAGCTCCCCGCCTCCCCCCTCTCTGCCTGCTTTGCACGCAGCCACTTGAGCTCTAGTTTATCGCGGCTTCATGCACGTTCCTCAAGAACCACCAGAGTCCCAGTCGCTCTGCCTGACAGTACAGCCCCACTCCACTTACCAAACAACCCTGGGCTCTGGTGGGAGCAGGAAACGCAGCGCGCGGGCGGGGGGGGGGGGGGTATCCCGTCAGACCGCATCGGGACGATTGACGGGCCTGCCCCTCCCACTTCGCCCCCCCAGCTATGAAAGGGGCCTCTGCTTCAGAGAAGCTAACAGGAACTGACCTTTTCCCCACAGGGGACAACACTGAGATCCCTACAACCCATCAGTCATTAGTAAGGAAACTTCTCTTTTACCACATCCTAGAAAATAAATTTAATTTGCATTGGTTTAGTGTACAAAACTCTTAAATCCAAAACTAGCAAACAGTGACTCATATTGCAAATGCTAATATTTGCAGGGAAAAGGAACCTTGAGATTTGTTCCGAAGTCTTCCGAGTTCCACGGCCTTCTAAAGAAATACCCAAGCTGACGTCTGCTGTCAAGGGCAGCTCTGCCGCGGCGGTTCTTACTTCCTGAATCACTCACCTGGTTCCCGACCAATAACAGGTGTTCCCCCATCAGGAAGTCTTTCAGCATGTCCTCCATCACTGTCATGTGCTGCACAAGCAACAGGAAGGTCAAACCGCAACACATTAAATTCACGGCGAATTTCGGGTGCAGTTTCCCTCCCCCCAGAACAGAATGAGCGCAGGCAGGGAATCTCACAGCAGGAGCGTCTGCAGCTGTCCAGCAAACAAACCTTCACAAATAACCATCTATCCATTTAACCCAGACGGTATTATAAGGTGCTGCAGTTTCTGAGATGCCATCTAGACTTTCTGTTCCCCTTGGGATTTTTAGGATTGCAAGTTCAACGCAACCGTGTGCAGAATGAGCAGTTATGGAAGACGGAAGGACAGATGGATGGAAATAATTCATATATTACGAGCGGTGAATTGTAACAATCATTAAGAACACTTATCATAAAGCTTGAGACGTTTTGTTGAATTAGATGAAAATACTGACAATCCCCCCACATAAGGCAATTATAACACGCTGCAGGCTTTCTCAGAACACGAGGGATGTAAGGAGTAGAGGAGCGGAAGATGGCTGAGCAGACCACCCTCATTCTGCTGCTCAGCTCCTCTTCACACCCTATTAGAGCATCGCCAACGCCGGCTTACAGTCCCCGCAGCGCCCTAAGAAAAGCAGGTCATTCAGAAGTGGGCCAAGCAAGGACTTATCCTCCACTTCCTCTGCCTCCTCCCCTTCACAGGGAGGAACAGAAAACGTGCAGAATCTGGGTCAGCTCAACCCTCAGCGCTCCTGTGGGAGCTGGGACACCTCCCTGGGCGGCTGGACACAGGGCTTGCTGGGACGCAGCCCTCGCCAGAACGGCTGTGGGCAAACGTCCATCCATTCATCTCCCAACTGTTTCTCCTGGCCAGGCATCACAGGGCACAGATGAGGGGCACCGCGCAGCCGGGATGCCAGTCCGTCGCACTCATAAACCACGGCCAGTTTAGAAAAGACGACCATCCTAACTGTATATCGCTGGATTGCGAGAGGAAACGGGAAAACCTGGAGGAGACCACACACGGAACTCGAAGGTTCAAGCCCCTATCCCTGGAGGGTTTAAGCAAAAGTGCCGCCCACTGAGTCACCATCCTTAATCGGCAAACAAACGCACTTCATCATGTCAGCCTTTATTTAAGGGCAGGAGGTGAGACAGCCAACATGCTCTATTCCAAATGCTATTCCGCTTACACCGACAGAGACTCCAGTTACAGCTAGGCTCGTTTACCTCTGCTCATTCCCTGTGATTCTTTTCCAGATCAGAACCCTCAGCATAATGGTGCTACTACATGAATAATCAGCATCCCCCAGTTCACAAGTAAACAACATATAATCTGTTTTGCTCAATAACTTCAATCTAAAGTAGAAACATTGACTCATCTAAGAACACAAGCCTTGTAGCTGGTTGGTGGAGGTCTTGCTGGCCAGTGTATCCAAAAGGCTGACCTTGAATCAGACCACATGACAGTTCCTGTCTTTTACAAAGATAAAATTGTTATCAAGAAATTACCTCATGCCATAATTATTTTATTCCCTCTACAAGGAATGGTTTAAGTTAAGCCATGGTACACTTGGTTCCTAAGAGGACTATTCTATCTCTGACCCAAGTGTAAGTAGACAGTACAAGTACAGGCCTGAGGAATAACAGAGAGTCACTTTAAAAGAATGATATGTTGGTTATACGTATATGCAGTAATAATGCAGATGGAATCAAGTCTGAGGAAGAGCTTGTAGTACGAGATACAGGGGAATCATGACCTGATTCGATGAGGAAGGTGTCCAGCTCCTGAATAATAAAGCACATTACGCTTAGAGACATGGCATAAACTGGAAAATGATCGGCTGTACTGGATAAGAAAGTGCACAAAACTAAACCAGCACGTATATACTGGGGAACCGGGAAACATGATGAGCTGATGTCTCTTTTGCAAGCAGGATCATGCACACAGCACTGACGTAAGGAGCTTTAGATAATAATACCTGGGGCCTAGTGATGAACCGAAGGCTGACTTACCTGCTCATTTTCATAAAACAGGACATCAGGAACCTTCATTTTTTCATGGGGATTATATACCGGAAGAGAAGCCTTTCCGATCCTCAGAATCCCGTCTTTTATTTCACCTGGACAAAAAAACAGACCCAAGGAAAGAGTGCAGAACGTGACAAGAAGCTCACTCCGCTTTTGCACGAGACAGTGACCTTTTCAGCCTTTCTTCCAGAAGCGTGACTGCTGGTCACATGATACTGATACTTTCGCTTTTTCAACTTTGATACCAGAGCTCCAGGTTAACTGAGGAATACAGGCTCGGTTGGGGGGGGGGAGGGGGGTTAAAATACAGCATCCTTTGGCCAAATATCTGAGGGTGACCTTCTCATTTCAGCGCTATTGCTCAAAAAGGACGATTCACTCTGTTCCTGCTGTGTGGAGAATTCCTGCCACTGAGACACGGAATCAAACAGTGTACTCACAGCTGAGGTCCAGGTTTTGTGTGCTGCCAGGGTCCGGCCCATCCTCGATAGAACAGTTGGCCAGGTTCTTCTGTAAGGCCGAACGAGCCAGGCTGGGCAGGAACCTGACATACACACAACAGAGGATCTGTCACCCACCTCAGCAACCTCATCTTTAAATCATTACTGAGAACTGGAAACAGTAATGAGAGAATAAGAGAGATCTTTAAGGGAGTAAGGATGTACAACACAGCAGGCCGCCGTGCGGGCCACCTGGAAAGGCAGGCCTTGTTCACAGCATGGCCGACCGTCTCCTCTGGGTGCTGGGACAGACGTCGGCAGATTCTCAAGAGCTGCCTGGTGGACAGAGAAGACGCCAAGGATTGGGCCTGGAGGGAAACACACAGTCTCAGACTCAGAAACACACGCAGCTCAACTGGCTTCTCCAAACAGTCACGTGACGCGATTAAAGTAAACATACAACCAGCGAAAACTACGTCAAAATAAAGGTCTCAGAAACAGCAGATTCTTCTATTTCTACTTCCAAACTGCCGTCGTGTGGTGGTCTGTCATACGCATTATGCGCATAACACATATTATATAAAGGGCAACATTCACGCTAGTAAAAATATATATAGGCATGTCTGTTACGGGCGGCTGTTTTGTCTGGTGCAGTTCACAATGACTTACTGTTGGGTCATTTGTTTTTCTCAAGCTGTGAGTGAGATGCAGTAAGAGCTGCACCGCCTCTGCTGGGGCATTCGGTGTCTGCGAAAAACAAAAGGACCACAGTTCAGCTCCGAGGAAGTAAAGCATCCGGTGGAGAAAAGGCGAAGGTTACAGTAGAGAAGCCCTGGAAGCCATTTAGGGGTCCACATGTGTGGACGTGACTGAGAAGATGGAGAGTGTGCGGCGGTTTGTAGTCATTTTTTTGAAACGAAGTAAATTCTACTCCCCCTATTTCCAGGTGCACAGATCTGAGACAAGAAGATGCCCCATGCTCACCATCCCCTGGATGATGGAGGTCTCCTCGGCCACGTCCAGGGGCTTCACGGTGTGGAAGAAGAACATGGTGAGAATCTCCGGGTTCAGCCACTGCTGGCCGCGGCTGCCCTGGACCGGGGGCTCAGCCAGGGCGAGCAGGCGGAAGGACGGGTGGATGGGGAAGATGGACCTGGTCAGGACGGCAGGTGGAGACAGTAAGCTACACGGATCGTTCCACAGGAGACTGGTGTCTGGTAAGGGACACTCTACTATAAGGCTGCCATTTGTTAAAGCCCCTTTCAGTTTGAATTGATCCATGAGGTTCTGGGAAAAAAACACCCATGTCAGCCTATGAGTCTAATCACTTATGACTAAATTGAGAAGGAGAAAAGGAAGCGAGAGAATCTTGAGTTCACCAGCTGTCAGACGCGATTGAACGCTGTGATGAGGATAACACAGGTCCCCCCCGATCTCCTTCGTGGCTCCGAGCGGCCGGCGGATGTTCACACCCCCGCGGGTCCCCTTTCACCCTAATCCTCCCTGACATTTCATTCGCGGCTTCCTGACAGGGAGTGGCCCACTGCTGCCCCCCCCCCCCCCCCATTACACCTCCCACACCAATAAGCAGATCCACCCCCACTCTCAACCAACACACACACGTTTGTATTCATATCCTTGTGGGGACCGTCCAGTCAACTCTATGGGAAACACCCAAATCCCAACAATGACGACCCTTTGACATTTTGAGTTTTTTGATTGCAGTCACTGATTTTTTATAAAGTTCAGTTTTCCATTGTGGGGACAGGAAAAAAAAAATCCCAACAACATTAAAATAACAGGTTTTTACCACATTGGGCGGACAATGATATTTTTGAACTGTGGGGCAGGCAAAAACTTTTAAAAATACCATGGACTACAAAGCACACAAAGAAGTGAACTCCTGATCAAATTAAGCCTGAACTTTCCCTTTAAGCACAAATAATCAGAGCAACACTAATAAATCTGGGGAACGTTAGGAGACTCAGTGCGGCGGAGTAAAACCATTATGATCGGAAAAGTGGAAGGTAAAGGATTCAGAGCAAGTTCAGCAACAGGACGGAAATGGACATTGTATTTAGATGCCTGGAGACAAAAAAACACGATATTCTGTAGGACTGTTGCCAATTGGACTGATTAGTAATAATACCCTAATGACTCCCTGTAGCATCATAAACACTAACATTCTCCATTCAGGCCTCTACACTCTCCGCTCACCATGTTCACTCAGGTCCCTGTATGTTCCTAAACGTTCATCATTTCCAGTCATTCTCTGCACCATATTAACCACTAACCATCTCCATTGAAGCTTCTGTAACCTGCTAACTGATTGCCATACCCAAAGACTGGAAATCATTTTTGCTCAAGAGCAGTGTAATGTCCTAATCTGGTCCTTGGGAACCCACAAACAGTCCATATTTTTGCTTCCTGTTGCTGCTGCTAGGGGAGCAAAAAGTGTTCACTGTTTGGCAGGGAGCTTGGAGGGAGCGAGAACATGGACTGGCTATTGGTTCCCGAGGACTGGATTGGGAAACACTCAAGAGGATAGAGAAGCTCCCCCTGGTGATGATGCTTTCAGATGGAAGCCGCGAGCAGCAATTAACACCCGCCCTGGAACCACATGAAGCGAGCTCAGAGACAGGAAAATGGAGGAAAGGGAAGTGGGTTTGTTTCAGCCCCAGACTCTGCGCCGCAAACATCCACCCTTTCAGTCTAGGTGAAGAGCGCAAACACAAGCATTCCTCATTCTTTCTCTTTCCTGCCCTCCTTTTAAATACTCTTTTTTCTATTCATGCTATTCTATTCAAAGCCTTTGTTTAGGAAATTATATGTCATGCACAGATTTTCCAAGTAAGGTGCGTTGCATGCGAATAATTCACCAGACTTAACAGTTATGCAACAGGATATGGCAAAAATTAATCAGTTCAACCTGAGCTGCACCCTCATCTATAGGATGCAGTATAAATAGACCTTATGTCTTTGAGACGTCACGGGCTTTTGAAACTTACGGGAAAAAAAAAAAAAACTATTTTGGGGTTTTAGAGTTTGGTTCACTCTAAATGAGTCAGTAGAAGCCTTAGAGAGGGTCCTCCACAGCTCTTAATCATTTTAGGGGCTGAGTTGCTGTGAAGTGCATGATTGAAACTCAAATGGCTTCTCCAAAGAAAGCAAAAATAAATAAATAAATCAACTGCAGCCTGATGTGTCACTAGATATTTAGGAATAAGGATATAAAGAAAACCTGTGCACATATAAACTACTTTGTTACGTATCAAAAAGTGAAAAAAGGACAAAAAAAAAATGTATACCTATGTGACACAGAGGAACTGTGCATCATTCGGAATAAACCAGGCGTGATTACCTCGCTCTTTCTGATACCTTCTTGTTGCTTCACGAGAAAAGCCCATTGGTCATTAATAAACCAGTAATTACTTCATTTCCAGGAGAAACTGTCAACCTGCAAACAATCCCCATTTTTTAAAGAGGGCCAAATCTTGACGCATTTCATTCTGCTTCATTGGTCAGTTTGCGACTGTGACAGTCTGTCTGAGCGACATAAACTGAATTAATGCCCCAGACGTTACAAGTTCTCCCCGGTCTCACTTCAGTGTATTCGAAATGCGTTATTATGGCATTGACTGCTTCACCTTTTCAAGGCGAGTAGCTGGCGGAGAGTTGCTGTAATGTAACTCGATTTTATTCGAAAACAAGAGTCGGTGCTGATAAGTGGCAGTGGGTGACAAATGATGAATGAGTAGATGAACTGAGCAAATTAACATAGCTTTATAATTAAGTTAATATATGACATGGGTATGATTACAAATGACTGCAGATTTTCAAGTGAGGGCAGGTCTCAAGAGAGCAAATGCTTAACAAATCACGAATTAACAACTTCCCTTCCGAGGACTGCGACCTTAGTTTGGTGGAGAGGTTTGCGTGCCCTAATGATCCAAGCTAGCTACATTATTTCGGGCCTGAGCTCCTGGTAAAGTCTTCCCTGGTAAGCAGGTGTGTGAAGAGAGACTGGGCAAACTACAACCCAACAAAGATCTCTAATGAAAGGTACCAAGAAGAACCAGTGTATCTGGTCTGTCCAGATTATGGTTTTTAAGACCCACTAATCAGACGCCGAGTGGTGATCATCAGCAAGCATTTAGTGGGGTAGGTGCAAGGTATCAGACAGATGAAACCTTGGTAATGGATGCTCTGGCAGAAAAGGGGCTTTACCTTCATGCATAATGTAGAGTTTAGAACCCCACCTCTTGATCAGGGGTGGAGTCTCTCCTACTCTGGAGATCCACATGGTGAAAGACTCCAGGAGGTGTGGGAACATTGATTCACAAGTCCCAGGATTCCCAAGAAGTTTTCCCAGTAGACAAGAAGGTCGCCTCTTTGTGATGCTGAGCTGTAGGAAGGAAAACTCTGGCAGTTCTTTGAAGATGTGGGCGAGCTGCTTGAGGGAGGAAGGGGTTAGAGCTACCATCCAATTAGCATTTGCTGAATGACTGGAGTTGGCATATAGGGAGGAGGCCAGATGAACCAAGACAACCCAGATAAGCAGTGAGGGTTGGTGGGGAAGGAAGATTCTAGGAAGCACTAGATACTGTTAGCTTGACATGGCTAGCACAACTCTTCAATGTTGTTTGAAAGACTGGTAAATAGAGGTGATGGTCCGTTTTTTTTAAAGGGGGAGAGGCAGAGGGTGCTGTCGGAAGTAGTACGGGATTATGGAATACTGGGGCCACTGTACATGCTATTTGGTCCTTATACAAATACAGAAGGAATTGCATCCACATCATTAGCACAAAACCGAAGCAATTTACTGTATAATGAGTGTTGACTTCTGGCAAGGGTGCATCTTGTCTCCAGTCCTGTTTGTGATTTTCACGAATGGGATGGCAGGGCACAGACAAGGCTGAAAAGGTTCCGATGCAGGATACTGGGAGTGGCATCCCTAATATATGCAGATAATGTCATGCTTTCGGCCTCATACAATCAGAACCTCAAGTGCACACGTAATAAATCCGATACCAAATGAGATGAGAATTGGGTGCCGTCACAAGGTCACGGTAACCCCTCAGAAAAGAGTGGACTGATCCATTCAGGTGAGGGGGAAGAATCTGTATTTACTGAAGGAATTTAAAATCCATGATCTTTGTCATGAGGGATGGTAATAGGAAAAGTGAGATTCACAGGAGGATTGGTTTGACGACTGCAGTTCTGCAGGCACCAAGGGGATCGGCGGTGCTGAAACATTAGTTAGATGCGCCTCAGGCTATAACAGTCATTCAAAGTACCTCTCCTCACCCATGGTCATGATCTATGCATAATGACTGAAAGAACAAGGTCATAAGTACAAGTAGCCAAAACGAGGTTTCTACACAGGGACGCTGAATTCATTCTCCATGACAGGGTGAGAAGTTTGGAGATCTTGAAAGAGACTGAAATAGAGCCACTGCTCCATCAGATGGGTCAGTTCAGGCATCTTAAGGATGCCACCTTGATGACTTGCAAGGAGCACGTTCCAGGCTCATCTGACTGGGTGGAGGCCCCAGGAAAAACAGGACATGTTGAGGGGTCTCCCATCTGACTTGGGAATGACTAAGGATCCCCTAGAACAAGGGTTCTCAAACGTTTGGATCAAAGGTCCGCACGAGATTTTTGTTCAAAATCACAGGTTTTGGAATAATTTTCAATGACAAAACAGCATTTCATGAATATACGGACAAGAATATATCAATATATGAAATTGGGAACTTTTCACGCTCGTTGATCAATTTGACTGCCTGTCATTGGGCGGGGGGGGGGGGGGGGGGGGGGGGGGGGGGGTGGTGGTGGTTCTACGTTGTATTTTTTACTTGAAACCACGTTATACGTTAAGGTGCATTATTGGTTCGGTCTAGATTAACTTGTGGTTCGGTCTGCATCTGGCTTCTAGAATGAGAGTCTGCAGCCATGAGAAAAGAGGACTGATTTGAGCTGCTAGGAATGCTACAAGGCGGACCCCCACCTAGCAGACCCCCACCTGGCGGACCCCCACCAGGGAAAACAGTGGGAAGACGAGATGAAACACTACACATCATACAAATTTTGATCACAATGGATACCCTGAAAAACAGTATTAAATTATATATAATGCGCAGATAACGGCATAAAACAGGTTGTTCCACATCCATCCATCCTTCTTTCGTAACCATGGTGAGGCTGGAGCCAATCCCAGGACGCATATGGTATGCAGTGGGGGAAATCCGGGAGACAGGATGGAATGTCATTCAATCGTGGGCAACACACACGCACGCTGCAGGGAGCCAACCGAAGAATCAGTAGGCAGTGCCTGGTTTCCGAAAAACACACAGACTTTCAAAGCGCAATGTGATCTTATTCTTACCATTTTAATTCCTGACCATCAACGTGGGCTGTTCAATCAGAATAGGAAGAGTGTGTATTTCCTGCACAGCCCAAACTTCTTAAATCCTAAACAGTTCCTCATCTAGTAACGCGAAGGGAAGTCAAAACTGCAGGTGACGGCGCGGCTGGGGTGGGGGGAGCAGACACGTCTCCGCAGAGGGCAGCCAGAGTGTTGCGGCAACGTCGCATTTCTCACCCACGGCACAGATGCGTTTTACTGCAGTCTCAGCCACGCAGAAAAGGGCGAATCAAGCTTCAGGCTCTTACAACAAGTCTGATCCGCAGGCAATACCGACAGAGAGATTACATCCTGTGGTAACTTCACAGCCGTCTGAGTATGTGTGAAAAACTATGATAGCATGTCTTTCAATGTGTTAGCTTAGCCATTTCAAAACAGTAAATTCCCCCGTAGAAGTAGAGGACTATACTAATAACCCACAGGTGGTGGGTTTGAATCCCAGGGAGCACAAACAAATTGCAACCCTTCCCTCTACTGTAAGTTGCTCTGGATGAGATGTATGAGATAAATATAAAATGTCTCCGTCGGTCTCCTACAATAACCACCCGATGCATCCACACACAACCACCAGTGAACCGTGTCTGGCTAATCCATACCCCATCAAGTTACTTAACTAGTTACGTTTGATAAGCGAGTTGCTGGTGAAAGTTAAGGAATACGTGGAATGGCTGGGGTGTCCAGGAGAGGTTTGAGAGCAGAAGCGGTGCTCATCTAGCCATCCAACAAGATTTTAACAACTTTGTGCAGAATGAAATAAATTCTGGCTATTTTTTATTGTGTTATTTTTCATTTGCATATATTGTAATGATAAATTCTGTTTCTTTTCCCCCCCGATAAACAGCTAAGACTGCCTAACGCTCACCGCTGTTCCATCTCCGAGTCAGACATCTTCATCTCCTCTTTCAGAATCTGGTACCGGTCGGACCTCAAGAGCCTGGTACCGTCATAGAGGGCCAGCTCTCGGTCGTGGATTAACCTGAAAGATAAACGCCACAGCTCCTGAAATCTGGTTTATTCACCAAGCGGTGTGAACGTTCTGGATGCCCAAAGGGTGAGATCACTGACCTGGAGAGCACAGCCAGGGTGCCCAGGTTGACCCTGTGGATGCCATCCAGCAGGACCAGCTTGCCCTCTCGCGCTGCACTGACCAGCGGGGATACCCTCCAGGCTGTGTCCCCATTGGGCAATGTGTACCTCTGCTGGAGGAGATCCCGGCCAGTCATGTCCTGTGGGCAGGAAATGACATCACCCTGAGAACCCGTCTTCCCAGGAATCCCTACATCAGGCGCACATATAATGCAAACCTCGTTATTAAGTGTCAGAGATATGGATGGTTTCCACTGACTTGTGCCAACCAGTATTTCAAAGTCAGAGACACACTTACCTAGAGTTCTATTTAGGTAAGTGTGTCTCTGTTCAATCACTAGTGACAAAATGGGGAGACAAAAAATAGGCTGGTTATTAATCTGTATTATTTTAACAGAAATCGTCTGCCGCGGTACTAAATGTGACTTAAGTAGAACTGGTAAAAGAGAAATTATGTCCTGTACTTGATCTACAGATGGAGAAAAGCTGTTTCCTTAAAATCCGTTTGAGCACATATATTGGAACATGTCAAGCAAATACTTTTTTCAGAAGCCACTCAAAAAGAAAGCAGAAGGGATTTTCTGTGTAGATGAGGTGAACTGTGTTTAAAACTCCTCCAGAATACTGTTTCCTTAGCCGGAAGCACAGACACCTTCGTTTTGCTGGCCAGGTCCTGCAGTGGACTGACTCATTCTCTGCGTTCCTGTACACACCCCCTGAAGTTTTACTACCTGGGCCACCACTAGAGTTTCCACTACCCCACCCCCCCACCCCAAACTCAATTACTCTGTTTAAGCAGCTTCAAAACACAGGCCGTCCGCTGATGAAACACAGACACTCCAAGCAGGACCTGGAACAGCATCGTTAAAGGTGTCACGTCTGTCTGCGGGCGAGGGATCACAAGCGTCACATCCCCCCGATGGCCGACGGCCCGCTTTTCGACCTTTTGCACTTTTTGTTTTTTGGGCACCGCTCCATGAGACCTCTGACTAATCTAATCGACTCATTTTCCAAGCAGCAACAGACAAAATAGGAAGTGAAATGTAACACAATCCACCGTAGGCTGGCAAAGTGTTTTTAACTTCAGCTGTACAATTTTCAAGGGGGGAAAAAACATCTCTTATTAAAAGAAATGCAGGTGCTCCACAATTCACATGTCTGAAAACGGAATAAATACCAAAAAAGACGTGCTGAAGAAGCACAGAAAGCTAATCTTTCATATAAGTATCACTTCGATAAAAATGTTACATTTATTCAAGCGGAAGCTTTTATTCAAAGCGACGGACCGTTCAGACAGCAGTTACAGGAGCAATAAGGGTTAGGGGCCCTGCTCAGTAGCCCAATAGTAACATCACTCTGATGACAGCGGGATTTGAACTGATGACCTTACGATCACAGGCACTGCAGCACATACCACCTCATAACAGAGGGGCGACTCATCGTGCCCCAGACTCGTACCTGAAACCTTCGGCACGTCGGCGCTACCCTCATCAGCTACCCAGCTCCCCGACTATAAATACATAGTAGCTATATAGGAAAGGCTTTATGCCCATTTAATTTCATAGGACTGGCACTCCACTATATAAGTGTTAAGCATTAAAGCTATAATGGACCATAGCTCCTCAAAAATGAAGCTAATTATTTACTATCTCCGTACAACTCAAATCATGAGGCGTCATGGAATCTAAGTCTTGTACTTAACATTTATACCTCAACAAAAAACACATAGAAGAAGACAGAAATTCCTGCTAGGTGGAGAAGCTATGCTTTGCATCAATTCTTCCTATAAGAATGGTTTTCATTCTTTTATTCTTCAACTGAAAAAGAATGAATGAAATGATTTTTGAAAATGGTGTGCATATACTACCAATATGGCATATGTAGCTAAAAATCAATAAGAATGAGGATTGTGGGAACGAAAAACCTAAACAGTTTGACAATCTAAAGCAACTCAAAATGGTGGGGGGGTCACAATTTATGTGTGCTCCCTGGGATTCAAACCAATAACCTATGCCTTGCTAGCACAGAGTTCCATTGGTTGAACAACAGGAGCCCATCCAGGAGGAGTTTCAGACTCGGATCTCGCGGCTCTCCTGTGGTGACTCACTGGACTGTCACGCCGCCAGATTCACTTGCAAGATGTATTTCCAAATACAGCATGTTGTGAAGTACCCCGGCAAGCCGGAGAATTTTAAAGGTGTTCATACAGATCAGCTCAGTAAAGAATGAAAAACAAGAAGAGATTATCAGACTGCCAGATCAAGGCAAAGTCAATTCTAGGGCCTCTGCCAATCTACGATGGTTTGTTGTCACGATGCTGAGTATCACCACAGTTCGTCGCTTCTTCGTCTCCCTGAGACGAGTTGATATGCACACAGAATGCAAGCCTCGTTACCTGATACAGCATTACAGGTTCAGTGCTGTACCCCAGCATCTCAGCAAATTCCTTGGCGATGACAGACTTGCCACAACCCTGGAAAGATCATATTCAGAAGGACAATTAATAAGTCGTTTTTCCATGACAGACAAGCACAGATCATTTTCAGTTATATGCCCTAAGAAAGTCTTTCTCAATTCGGTCTATAGGGACCTGGAGACAGTCCGTGTTTTTGCTCCCTCCCAGCTCCCTTTAGGGAGCAAAAATTTTGACTTTCTGGCAGGGAGCTGGGATGGAGCAAAAACGTGGACCAGCTGTGGGCCCCCAAGGACTGGGTTGGGAAATCCTGTCTTAAGATATTCTACATATTCAGTTTTAAATTATTTCTATTTTTGGACCACTTAAATGAACCAGTAAGGCATACCTAGAATCATCTCAGATAACTATATGGTTTAAATGTAATTAACATTTCCCGAAGGTTTTACTCTACACATTGAAATATAAAATATGGACCAAGAATTGTTCGGGCTTGATTTTACACCTTGGCCCCCATAAGGCACATATCCTTGACCATGTGGGACTGCATCATTTCAGCCAGAAGGCGGGCGTGGGTGGGGGTGCTGATGAAGCTGCGGCTGTGGTCGGGGGTGCGAGGTTGATTGGATCCTGCCGGAACCTGAGGCCGGGAAACAGCAGCAAATCAATGGCAGCGGCCGGAGCTCACATGGACAGAGAGGATTTAATCAGGTTTCCATAAGAAAAAACAGGCACCACTACTACTCAATTAAATCCCTCTAAACAGACCAAACCTATCCCATGGTGCACCTGGGTTCCAGCATTTCGGCTAAAATATCACCATGGCAACACTGCTCATCTTCTGTAGGCCTCGGGTGCTAAGAATAAGTGGCCACGGTGACCCCATGATGGCACCTCACCTGGAGGGTGACGTCCGTGTCAGACACACGCAGGGTGACAGCTGCGCAGCCAGTCTGCTCCCGGTTTAAGGGCTCCACGCTTACCACCCTGGTGGGACTGGGCTGCTGTCTGGAGTCAAGAAGTTCAAAGCGCTGCAGGAAGGATATAGAGGTGTTTCCAGTCAGCTCTGCAGCTGGAAGGATAGCGGGGGAAAGGTGTTTAATCTCACGACAAAAAGCATCCAGTTCTTCCATTATCTGCTTATCTGGCTGGGATCTGGACTGTCAGGAACCGGTGCTGGGAAGAACAGGCAGAGAATCACCTGGACAAAATATCTGTCAACTGCAGCGCATGCAATCGGGACAATTTACAGGCCAATTCTGACTCATAGTTTCCCCTGATTTTTTTGGGTGTATTTTGGGAGGGAATAAACCTTGAGTGACTGAAAGAGTCAAGAGGGAAATGGGGAGAATGTAAGGTCTACACAAAAGGCCAGATCGATGAGAAGAAACCATCTGCAAACATCCAACAATAGTTAATACTGGCATATCAAACAGAGCAGCATCACGTCTGTGAGCCAGTCTGACTGATGGCTGCCTTTGGTGTGGAGACCGGAGACTCGAGGATGACTGGCTTACACTGAGCACCCCCTCCACTGCGCTGCGGCCCTCCTTGCCCAACATGACCTCATATGGGTAGAGTCGTTGGATCAGCTGCTGGCAAGACATCATGGGGAACAGGTCCTGTGAGCAGAGACACCAGATTCCTCAATGCAAGGCAGGGCACCCATTATGCACCTAATCCTTTCAAGATCCATTTGCGTCAATAGCTGTAAACCAGAGAATCTGTGGTATAAGTCACGAAAAAATAACCGAAATTGCAGAGGTATAAAAAGATCAGAGATGATAAGATTAAACTCCTAGGGCAGGAAACAAGGGGCTTCCCAATCGCTTACGAGGACTTTAATGGCGGAGGGTAGGTTGTCCACAGGGAAGTCGGGAAGACCCAGGCTGGATGATTCTTGTGAGCAGAGGGTGGTGGCAAAGGACAGGAGCTGTGAGACTCTAGGTGAGTCAGAACAGAAAGCATCGTTCTGACATCTGACAGGCCGCAGTACTCGCACACGAAAAGCAGTGATCCAAAACTACGAAACGCTTATTTAAATGTAAACTGCGTAAATATAAACGTTAGCGACGTCACTTACTTATCCGTGGTGACATTTGGTCCGATGCTGTACAGAATTTCTAGCTGATCCTTAAAAAACAAACAAACAAAATATGAAAATAAATAAACTTCAAAGTGTCTAGTTATGACTGCATGATAAAAGAGAGGCTTCCGGAAGCAGATGCAGGGCCACCCGCAGAGAAAGGAGGCCATTAAGAGTCCTGACCTTGAAGGGAAGGTAGTAGATGTCTCTGGCCTGGAAACGGGATCGCAGTGGTGGATCGAGGGGGTTCCCGGTGTACCGTGGGACGGGAAGCCCCAGGGCGATGACGCGGAAGTCCTCACTCACGCGCACGATCTTCCACGCGTCCAGCTCCTCCTTCGGGTGCTCCTGAGCCACACAGGCCACAACGTGACAAAAAACCGTGGCCACACCGCAGGTCACATGTAGCAGCAGAACAACGGCACAAAAAAACTCCCTTATTCTCAAGGGGGAACGTCGAGATAGATCCAAGGCCAGGCTTAAACACGAGCTGTAGCCCAGGGCCCCAAATTGCGGGAGGCCCCAGTCATTTTTCTGGTTGTTTCAGCAGCATTTTATGCTGTAGGTTTGGCCCCAATAATAACTTAAGTCCAGGGGCTCCAACCTCCTAAACTGGGTCTTGAGAGTGAATAGACTGACAGATGCTAGCTTATTGTTTGAATGAAAATTAAATTTACTGACTGCCAACCACTGACTGATACAGAAACTGTCTGTCTGTCTTACTGTCTGGCTCTACCTCTACATTAACATGCAAAGGCACAGAATAAAACCTCCTCGATAATAAGCGGCACATGACGGCAGACTACAGCTTTTCGTACCCTGGGCCACACCACCCACATAAGCACTGCACTGTAAGTGCAGGTATGAATGTAAGTTCTCCCGTTAAACAAAGCAGACTCCCAGCAGCTAATTAAATTTGCCAAATTCTGAATGAACTTTGAGTAAAACTGGGTGGGGAATTAGACAATCACGGGATGCCTTAAACTATGAGGCGTAATGCGAGGGAGGGCGGTTGGTAAGATTTCGCCTGGGGAGTCAGGTTCAGGCTTGTGCGTCTGAAATGTCGAAACGGGCTGACATAGGCAGTAAACAGCACCACAGCCCACGTGCACACGTGTGAACGGGCCGCTGCTTCAGCCACAGAGGCCGCTAATGGGCCTTCACACGAGAGTCTCCGGCCAACAGGGGATTCACCAGTTTCTTTGTTATTTGGCTCACGCTTTCACCGCAAGCGACGTTCAGTTGAGAACGCAGGGGTCAGCCAGCTGACGGAGCAATCGGGAGCCAAGGTCCTTGCTCAGGGGCCCGTCAGCAAAATTACCGCCGACCCTGAGATTTAAACTAGCGAACTTCCAATCACATGCACAGTATCCAAAACCCGTGAGTCACACAGACCCCCCCTGGGGATTAAGTTTAGTGTAATCTGTCACTTTTAATGTGTCACTTTTGGCGCTTTTCCACTGGCATACAGGAACCGACTCGTACCTGAACCGCAACGCAAAGAGACACTAGTTCCACTGCAGAAGGGTCGGCTCAGTAAAGGCATTGCCGGGTTTGGAGAGCGACAGTGATGTAAAACCGAAGAAACTCATATATACTGTCCACACGGTGTACAGCATGATTTATTATGTACAATTATTGTAATTTATTCTGTGTGCTAATTTCTATTAGCACGTCTGTGGAATCGCTGTGATATGCGAGTATCAAACTCTAGCAGAATTAGCTTTCGGTTGCGTAATTTTACATTATCAAATCCATTCCAACTAGCGGTTCTATAGTACTTTTTTAAGTAGAAGGTTAGAAATTTTCATGTTCCGAGTCTCTGGGAATGCATCAATACATCGCAATGTGCAATACTACTAATAATGAATTATATATGGAATATATGCTTTCTTTCAGGTAATCCATGTGCAGAACAACCAGCTCGGTTTGGTCATGCTAGTAAGCAGGGCCATGTCAGCGCGGTTACAGTTCAGGTACAGCTCACATACTGTACAATGGAAAGTAGCAAGTTCGCAGTACGGCTCTAGCACGATTCTTGGCGGCAGTGGAAAAGCGCCATTTACAGTATTTCCTCTCCTTTCTGCAATTTCCTTGGAGAACCATCCATCCATCTATCTATACTATTGACTTTGGTCTTCTACTCAACACTGACATTTGCTTCACAGACAAAACCACAGCTTTCTGACTACGGCCCCAACTTTGCCGGAGTAGGGCTTTAGGCACTGCTCACCTGCAGCAGCTTGTCGTAGCGCTGCGCGGACATGAGGAAGCGGCCGTCCTCCAGCTGCATCTCCCTGTTCTCCAGCAGGTTGTTCAGCACCGGCAGCACGTTGCGCTCAGCCTTCTCCAGCCCCTCCAGGATCAGGATGCGGCCCTGAGTTGCGGCTCGCACCGCACACTGGGGGGGGGGGATACCGTTTATCTCCCCGTCTGGCCACTGCTCCACTCAACCGAAAGCGCATCACTGAACACAAGCTGCCGACAAAAGCCCTGATAGAAATATGGAAATATTACAGAAGCAATATCACCCCCCCACTTTGTATTGTTATAAAAACTAAGCCCCCCCCCCACACACACACACACCCCACCAGAATAAGAGGCTGGAATATGGATGAATGGTACCCAAATAAACAGATCAGCCAAACATAGAAAGTAATAGAAAAAAGCAGTAATTAAAGTAATAATTTCTTGTTAGATTTAGAAATGATAGTTGTCATTGAGAAAAAAATGATTTATGGACCTTCAAAGCGTCGACTGACTTAACCAGTGTTTCTTTATGATACACAGATCATTTACATCACCAGAAAATATGTGAACTTGCTTGAAATTATTTTCAAAAAAGCAATTACCACTTGGCTGTTTGTGGAATTTTCAGGAGTATATGTTACCCATACAATCTGAGATTCAAGTTCTATTTACCTAATTTTTATTCATAAAAAAAATCAAGCATGAAATACACTGACATTACAAGCATAAGTGTAAAAAAAATCAAATGACATAAAATTAAAAAATCAAATGATACTGACGTCAATGAGAGGAAATTCTCAACTACTCTGGCAACCAAAATGACAGTTGCCATGTAATTAGGTTTTGGTTTACATAAAAATATAGGCTTGCCTCTATGGGAAGAAACCCAATTAAAATGCAGCCAGATGCTAAACTTGACTCCAAATACATTTTTGTCACAGACACTGTAATCACATAATTATTTTAAAGGGCAGTGATGCAGACGTGGTGAAATTGCATAAAAAAGGGAAGACATAATAAAAAACACTTGGAAGAATTAGTCGGCGATAGTGCAACAGCAGCATGGATAAGTGAAGCTCTAAAATGATGATTCCCCTCGACATTTAAAGGAGAGTAAGCATACTGTGCATCAACAGTTCCTCTCATGTGGATACAAAGCTGTGGTGGGCGGGACCAACAGTGAGCAGCCAATCATCTGCCGATCTAAAAGGAGGCTGCAGGCAGTTGATTGGCTGGGTTGCACTTGGCCATGTGTCTATACCGATGTGTTCACTTAGCATACCATAGATTACATCCTACTGGATTTATGCTCTGTTTGCACTATTTGGAGAACGACAGACCTCAGATGGTATGGGTCGTTCAATAGGCAAGGATCTGTTAATGCCCGGTTATGGAATCTATATCATTTCAGTCTAGGAAGAGCCTACCACACTGAAAGCTTAGTAGAAAACACAGTGGAAAACCAAAGAAGGAAGACGCTCTGACACAGTGTTTTCGCATGGCGTGACGCCTACTCCAGTTTCACTGCATCCTGAATTCATGGAGCCCTTCCTGTAATTAAATTACCCAACAGGCTGCATGCGTGCTTCATTAAGTAAGAACACCCTCTCACTTCTGCTGCTACTCCACGCTAACTGCAGGAGAAGTGAGCAGCTCTGTCCAGTTTTCTCCCTTTTCTTTGAAACATCTTCGAGACGGAAGGCCGCACCGTGGTAGATTCCGGTAGGCCTGGCTGTTCCAATCCTGCTTTTGCGCCATGCATGCATTTGCCTTTTCTCCTTCTATTACAGGAGCTTTCGGCTACATGCAAAGACATTCATTCAGCCTAAGTGACATCAATTGTATAAATTGCAAACATATGTGTCCTGTGATGGACTGCTGTCCCGTCCTGGGCGTACCCCAGCCTTCTGCTCTATAGTGCCTAGGATTGGCTCCACCCCCCCCATAAACACATTTATTTTGCTTTTATTCAGCTGGTGAATGAGTGTAATTAAGCAGGAATTTGGTGCAAGCAAACACAATACAATACTGCTGTTTTAAGATCGATTTCAGAAAGTTGGAAAATATGTGTCCCTGCATCTCCTGGATACTGAAGGAAGTCAAGCAGGAACTGCACACTGCACACTGCACCCACAATAACTTTAATCTCAATTAATATCCGGCAAGGCTGACACACTAAGCTGAGAATGTAGGTCTCCGAATGAGCCCAGGTCCCGGAGGAACAGTCAGATGACCTGGAAGACAGGCTCCTCCCACTGCAAGCTGCTCCAAGAGGCAGCTCACTCCCAGGAGCCCTTCTGCTGCTCTCAATTTTAGCCAATCAGGTGCCTCGGGCAGTTACAAGCACTTCTATTGGCCGCAGCAAACATAAACATATAGAGGGTGCACTTAACTGCTCTCATCCTGCTCCATTTTTACAAATTTCATATCGAGATGTTCAATAAATATCGATATATTACAAGTTGGCACATGTTACCTGTTAATATATTATCTGGTTGGTTAATGAACTACTTAGTGTATATATGTCACTTCCAGTTGAGTGAGAGTGGGGAAAATCATAATCTTTAGGAAATTTGTATCGTATATATTTCACATGTAGCAGAAGCACAACAGGACAACTCCTGGATAAGTAACTACAGAAGACGGGTGAATGGATATTGCAATATAAAGAGACCAGTACATCTAAAACAACTGGTAATTTACTAATTGTTTATTTGTCAATAACCATTCTCTCTAGGTGACAAATACTCAATGCCTGACTGTGACGACTGATAAAGAAAGAGGGTGTCTGTCTGACAATGGCTGTAGCAGTGTGTTCTACAGAGTCATGGGTTATATATAATACAATATAAATAAACCAATGATTTCATACTTTTCGGCCTTGTTTTTGAATTCTTTGTAGTGGGGCAAGTTTTCAACCAGCCAGTTTTATTTCTGCACATTCATCGTTTTCTTCTTCTTTGTCCGGTGTACCACTGTGCCGCCAGACAAACGCTCAGATGGGTCTCATTCTACGCTGAAAGATGCCAACTGTGACTCTAACTGGTGTCTATAAATATTCATGCAGGGACGGGCACGCACCATCAATTATCCAGCATGTATCTAAAAATGTTCAGGGCAAAGCTGGCTACAGCGCAAGCCTGATTTAGTAGAGACATTAACAAACATTAACATAAACAAATTTGCGGTTAAACTGGTTTGACATGAAGAAATAAATGTAATAGACTGTACACTTTGGTAGTTGTTGGTGAAACTGTGCAGTTTTAAAATTCAAGTTGGATTTTAGAAATGGCTCCTTTGGCTGGGGAGTGTGTAATACGGTAAGGAGAACAAACAAATAAATCGATCAGGCAGTGTGCATGTGAAAATAAATCTACACGCAGAAATTCCATGTGAATGTGGACTTGCTTGACAGCTATGAACTATCTGTTTGATGGCACATTGCAGCGGAGAGTGTTTCAAGCACTTTAAGCTAACCGGAAATGTTTTTAGGACACACGCACCAAGGTTGAGAACACTTTCCACTTTCGTCACTGAAAACGTAACCACATGGAAAAAAAAACGACTGCACTGATAATACAGTCGTGTCACGCGTAGATGCGAGAGTTCACGGTATTTCTGTGTCCTACTCTGACACTCTTCTTTCATAATACGGACGGCGTGGGTCAAAAGTTCCCAAACACAAGTAATATTTAAAAAAAAACAACACATGGATCACCCTCAAACCACGCTGAGGAAAGGAGAATCACCTTTCATAACAAGGCAACACTCGAACCCGGGCGAGACAGCGGGCAACCCTGAGAGGAACACACTCTGAGGGAATCTCAATTTAATCACGCTGAGGCCTAGCAGACTGCAGCTGGAAACTCATAATATTTATCCTTCTTTATAGATCCGAGTATCATTCTGCTGACTGCGCTAATCCCCTTTCCATCATGTTGTAATTAAAAAAAAATCAATGTTCCTGGGGGCTAAAATACAGTATATTATGCCTCTATGCACTCTGCAGGCTATTTTCTATAATTCAAATGTCAATAAAATCAAATTCATAGAAAAATCCTTGTAGGCCAGTTAATTACCACAATTCAACTTCAGTTCCGGATTAAAAAAAGAGTTAAAGAACCATATGTCATTCCATGTTTTAATTAACATGATCGGTAATTAGTGTGACTACTATGTGTGGGTTTCCATGGAAACACCGGTCACCTGGGTTTCTCTTGTTTGCCGTGGCGACCCGTTCGCGTTCTTTGAGATTAGGCTATAATCAGCTGAAGAGTTTATTTTTAAAAGGCTTTGTGTGTGCGATCGTGCTTCGTCACAAACACTCCAAGTCCTCCGGTGTCCTTGAAATTCTCAAAAGCAGCCGGATCTGACACCATCAACATGTATCAAAACGTACGTTTCGGATGTTTTGCATATTGACAGCTACAGAGGCAATGCTAAGATAGATTCGGGGTGTATACGTCTCTGGATTCCCGCTGAAACATCGACGGTGTGTGACAGACCTAAGGATGGTATTGTTAAAAGCAGCACCTAACAGACTGTAGGATTGTGGGAGATCTCCGCTGGGAGCCCATTTCGATTCGCAAATCTGATAATTAAGAATCTCACAGGTCCTTGCTGAGCTGCAGATCTTCACAGACGTCTGCGCTATGCAGGTGTTCGAGCAGCAGACTTCCAAGCTGACTGCTGGGTCCACCGTTGGTAAGTGTTAATTAAGTGGATGGGGTTCCGCTGCCGGAGGCCTGACAGGATCACATGTGACCCCCCCCCCCCCCCCCCCACGCAGACGTCTCGTACTCACAGGGAAAAGAGTACCAGGCCTTATTTTTAGAACAGAACGAATCCAGCCGTGTCCAACCCCTGGACACGGCAGGTGACTCGCCGACTTGCCTGGTCGATGTAAAATGCGGTTCCGGCCCGGATCTCCCGGCGCTGTTTCAGGTCCGTTTCTGTAGTGTCCCGAGACAGGGCCACATACTCCACTTCCCTTTTGGTCAGCTCCTAGAGGAAACCCCAGAAAACTGAATTGTTCTTTGTTCCTTTATGGGATTTGCATGACAGAGATTTATTTAATCACTGGTGCATTTTGTCTCATGTGGATATAATTTAGTTACTCACAAATTATATAGATATACATAAAACAACATTTTTGGTATGCAACCTATCAAACAAATACCATTAAAAGTGAAACCTGTATAGGGATAAATGCTGACCATTAACAATCAGAATCTGAATAATTTTATTGACTTGGAGAAAACTGCTTATAAATAAAACATTATTCATAACAACTAACAGCAATGTAAAGGAATTTCAGTAAAAGTATACACAGATGGATAACAACCACCTGAACAATCTGGCATGAGGCAATGCATCACCAGGACTGAATGTCAGCATATGGTCAGTACTGGGAATAACAATGTCAGAAGTCTTTTATGCATTGTATCCCTGGTATGTGTTCATGTATATATCTATTTATTATAATTTATTAACCCCTTTATGACATTTACCAGCAAAAGAGATGACAAAAAGGATATATAGAATAAATTATGCCAATGCTGTCAGACTACTGAACTCTCAGGGACTGATTTGATACCAAACACAAGATCAGATACTACACACACATATTAACACGATACTGATCACCATTATACCCCACTGCAATATGTTTGCTGCTATTTATTATGTTTAATAATAACAGATACTTCATTGATCCCTATGGGAAAATTCTCTTCACGTCTCCCCTAACTTGCTGTCTGTTTGGTGAGAGCAAGCTGGCCACGAAGGGCAGCCACCCATAGCAGCACCCAGGGAGCTGGGGGTTAAGGGTCTTGATCAAGGACTGACAAGTGCCGAGGTTAGGCTCAAACCAGTAACCCTCTGATCAGAGGCACAGAGGCTTACGCCGCTGAGCCACATACCCACACTACTATTTACTATGTTTACTGCTATATATTACAGTATCTTATTGCTACCTCATTGTACATTGATATTACGTTTCTCCTGTATTTCTCACATTGTCCCTGTGAAATGTTTATAATTACTTTTTATGTTATTGCTACTGCATTGCACAGCCAAACTGCACCTTATCAGTACTGGCTTAACTGTGCTGTTTGCCCTTTTCACGGTGTCAGCTGTCCTGCAATGTTTGCACAGATTGCACACTATGCACTCTGTGTTGTCAGGTTGTTACATGTTAGTCTTCTGTTAATCTATGTAGCACCTTGGGCCCAGGGAAATGCTGTTTTGTTTTTAATTGTGTACTGCAGTAACTGTGTATGGTTAAAATTACAATAAATTAATAGATTTAGAATAGAATAGAATTCCTTTGTTGTCATCATACAGATAGAAATTCAATCTCCAAATATCGCATCTTACTCTCCTATGAGACACCTGACATATACAGGTGAGAGTGAGGTTTGGGGTCAGGGCACAGGGCCAGTTCAGTTGGCATCCCTGAGGAGTTGAGGTTAAGGGTCTTGTTCAAGGGCGCAACAGTGATATAATTACTCCATGGCCATGGGATTTGAACCTGCAACCTTCCAGACACAGGAATAGAGTCCCAAAAGTCGACAAACTCATACCTGCAACCCTGGAACCGTAAGGCTATGCTGCTATGTAATGAATCATTATGCTAACAATTTATTATAATTTCAGACAGCCTTAACTTACAGTAAGCAAACAGAACAGGTTACACATAGCTAACTGCAGGATATCAGACAGCAAGGAAGTTTATGCAACTGTTCCACATTAGAACAATGAGAGGAAGATCTTTAAAAAGGTCAGCGCGATAGCAGTATCATACCAGATACTGCATGGCAATGGAGCGACGAAGAGGACCAGGTGGCCCAATGAGGAACACATCCTGGCCCAGAAGGTCCTTCTGCATGATCCAGCGGAGATGCTGAACCACAGTCGGCGATATTGACTCTGTCACTGTCACAGCAAGATACGCATGATTAACATCCCAAGATTCCAGCAGGGAAGAGGTCTAATGCCAGAAACTCTACACTGTACTCCAGTCAATAACCCCTACCAGACATTCATGAAAAAGCGGTTTAACACCGCGGCACACGGACAGTAGGTAAACAGGAATGACAGCGGCTCGATCTGAATCACCATACTCCCCTTTACCTAATAATACAGAGCTTCAAAATGTACGACTTTTTGGCATCCATTTTATTACAGCAAGAACCTGAAACAGCATTAAGCACTTGGTAAATGTTCTTATAAGCAATAAATATGCATGACGTGACATACTGTGGTTGACTGGCACAAGTTCTGGGTTTCTGGGGGCTTTCAACTGAAATGAGATTTCGCCGATTTTCACCGTACCACCTGGTTGAAAAATGAAAACAAAAAGACTTATTTTTCCTGAATTCCATGCGACAACAAAAAAATACTTCAGTGATTAAAATCAAGAGCTTATTTGTAAAAGAGAATACTTTAAATTGTGATGAACGAGTCTTAAACAATCTTCATATATTTACATATTAATTAAGTTGAATTTCAACTGAACGTGTCTGACATAAGGAAATTGCATTTAGTGGGTCAAGGGTACTTGCCAGCAACTCAGGGCAATGACGTAAGCACTGGGACCTAATTTGCTATGTTTTTTTAACTAGCACAACATACAATATACAGATTGTAGAAAGCACGTATAGCCAACTAAGGGACATAATTGCGTAATATATATCTTTGCAAAGTTAGGGATGACATCAAGTAAACGTTCACCTGACGACGTGTTAAGGAGTTTGACCTCATGTGCGCTGCATCTCCAGCCTCCTTTTCCCATGACAGTCCCCAAAATGTTTCGCATTCTTCTGGCGGCAACAGCGGCGACTGTGCCATTGCACAAAATCCGTGACTGCATCCTTGAATAACAATCTAAAGACAGCGCGTATTCAATTAATGCTCCTATTTTGCTATGCCCATGTTGCTTTCATAATTGTACATAAGCGCCACTTCCCCAGTGTAAGTGGACTATAATAAATGCAGAACAGAAATGGTCCGACCGCAAACTTTCCGTCAAACCGCCTACCCAAGGCAATTTGAGTTCCGACTGCCAGATACAACAGGCAATGTTAAAAAAAATCGGGATATGTTAAGGATAGAGGAAATATTGCGACATACTACCATAAAAATATCTATCTGGGCGTGTGCGGTTTCAAATCACTATAATCAACAAAGTTTATAACGCTTGAATTTATGTAAAATGTGGGAGAAGTTGAGCGGATATTAAAGTAAGCCTACCTCAAAATAATATGATAAACTCTAATTATAAACAGTAAACCCACAACTTAAAATCAAATACAAACATTAATATGCATTTATAAACTTTTATACTGCATAACCATGTAGACCCTCGTAAAGATATTCCAACCATTAATTCTGCTGTCAGTATTCATTTATCTCGGCATCAATAAATCAATAAATCAACAAACAAATAAACAAACAAACAAACAGATATTAATTCGTTTTTTCCGAAGGTGAAATCGATACCAAAATTGTATTCTGCCAGAAATTGAACTTGGTTATTTTCAACAGCTACTAATTTGCAGCAATTATATAGTGCGATAAAGGCTACTGTACAGCCTATAATTTATAATAATTATATATAGGCAGCAATTAATTTGAAATTACATCAAGAAAAATATTCTATATATACATTAATTATTATTTTAAATTATATTATTTCGATTATTGGACGTTTTATTCCGGGGACCCTCAGATCAAATTAAGCATTTCCCCCTTTTGTTATGTATGAAATCACGCATAAGACATGCAATTTTAGCTTTGCCCAACCTAAACTGCGACTTAACTGATGACAATTACTTGTTGCTGCACACGTACTGTAGGTAATTTTAATATTAGGCCCATTACACGACTAAATGGAGCAATATCTACGTTGTTATACAGTATATTTCTTGTCAGTATAAAAGCAGACCTCGTTGTTATTTGGGTCTATTTCTGTTTAAACAGTCAGTTTTAGACGTCTTCTTTAAATACCGATGTTAAATGAGAACAGTTTTGTATTTATTGTATTGCCCTTAAAAAAGAAGAAGGGGTAAGCAAGTGTTCCTGCATCGAGATGACATCAGCAGCATTGCCTTCTACCCCTTATACAGGATGACATTTATCACGTGGCGGAGAAGCTCAACCCTTGGAAAAGCCGCGCGGAGGGGAAGCGACGATGCGGGGAAAAGGAGGGAAGCGAAATACACACTCGGTTTAAAACGCCACGCCGCGTGCGGCTTTATGCTTAGACGCCAGTAGTAAATACATTGAAACTCGCCGATCTCCACAAGAAGCCTGACAGATCGGATAGCAATTATGGAAGATGTCCACCGATACACTCGAAGCCCCGTCTGGGAGGAACTGGTCAGTATGTTTTATTTTGTACTAAAAGGAAGTAAATTTGGTCCGTTGTGCCTTTGTATCTGAAATCGATTGCAATACAAGACCTTATAGGCTTATAGGCTAATCTGCAGGGTATATTACATTTCTTTCATAGTGTTCAACAGCGAAGAACCTCCCTTTGAACAGCACTAAGAACTATACATAATTAAATTGAAGATTAAAAGTTTGTTTTGTTAGTGTTTTTTCTGATTTCTGAAATCGGAAACGTGCGAATCCACTGGACACTTATTATTGGACGCAGTGAACAATGTAGCAAGATCAGTCTGTAAACTAAGTGGTGTCACGTTCACTCATCTTTCATGGTGTATTTGAATAGAGAGTAATATTTTCGTCTCCTTAATTAAAAATTACCGAATTTATAGAAGGGTAGGCGGACAAAACCAATTCTAAACCGGTTTCTCAGACAATGATTCAGTCTGTGCAGTCAGGGCTGTGAACAAGATATTTGAAGAAGACAGTTTAATTTAGGGATACGGTCCGTCTTTATTGTTAGATTTATGGAATGCTGCGGGGTTCCATGACTCTGCACCGCCAAAAACACGTTTGTACCATGAATATTGTCTTACCGATTATTTCTGCTAGTGACACCACTATATATTAGCATATATATATATATATATAGGTCGTCGTTGTCGTGATATGTTCTAGATTGTGACAGTCGCTTGCATTATAGTCCCAACATTGGATGCCAGCCACTAAAACTGGACCAGCGATATTATGCAAGTGTCAAATTTTATCACGAATATTTAAACACATTGTAATATAATAGTTGTAATACTTGTTTTTAAATATCAAATAAAATACAAAGTTTGCCTATTCGCGGCAATGCTCATTTTAGAATAAGTTGTTTTTCTCCGTTTGAATATAGGCCTATGCATTAATAGCCTACATAAGTATCCACTACGTGTAATTTATTGTTTGTATTTAAATACTGGCAAAAAAAACACTTCTGCGGTGTAATGAATAGAGAATTCAAAATGGGCAGTCTATTCAAAGTTTATGGTCTGCTTGAAGTCTGGAACAGAGGAATATGAAGTAACATTCGATGGTTTGTAATAACACTGTGTAGATAGACTCATTAACACCAAAGGTGTCTGTAGTAATACAACTATATGAAGCACCCGTTGTATAAAATGATCCCGTTTATCAAGAAATGGCCGATATTTCCACTTCAACATAAATAGTCTTTCCTTGTGTTTCTCTCCTGCTCGATCTGATCCTCCCTCTCACAGTACTGGAAAAAATGTTAAATGAACATTGCAGAACAACGATACTAATTTATCTATAGCCTAATTTTCTTCCGAATATTACATGTTAGTTTTATGTAGCCTATAGCCTATATGTTTTTTTTTCTCTGGAGAAAATCTACGATTTGCAAATTAAACTAATGTAGGGTGTAAGAGAAATATAGGCTATAATCTACATACAAGTAGTTGTAAATATAAACAGGGAATATCAAAGCGACGTCAAAAACGTTATATGATTTACATCACCATATGTTTCTCATACGATAGTAAAATAGCATGAAAATATTAACATAGCTATTAACCATTAACATAATGACATAATTTGAATACAATCGTGTCACTGAATAATTTTCACCATTGTTTGAACATTACTTTGCAGAAATCTGAATAAACCAGAATGCAAATCTTAGACAACCCTTAGACAACATAATTGAAGTTAACTGTATTTTAATGAATTTATGATACTGTAGCCATACTGGATTTTGTTTGTTTAGCGCTAAATCAAGCTTTGTTTGAGGAGAACGACTTTTCGAAATGTGCAATGGATAAATAATTTTTTCCGCTGAATAAAAACCTTCCGCTATGTTTATTTTGGTTACTAATATAACAGTTTTAGGTGTGCTAAGAATGGGCAGGGAGCACACGGGTGATCCCCGGTGCTCCTGCGCTTCCAGCAGCCGCTAGGGTCTGCTGCAGAGGTTTCCTCCCGATCCTGCACGGCATAGGCGGCAGGGGCGATCCCCAGCCTCCATGTGCCCACCGAAGCCGCGAAAGCACTTAGAGTAAATGCCTATCGCACGATCATGGCAGCTCCGCACGGGCTCCTGTGCTCCCGTACGGCTTTCAAATAGGTAAAAGTGAATCGGAGACGGAAAGGTAGCGGAAGATGGCGGCGAAGAGGGCTGCTTTCCAGCCGCTGTCCGGCTCTCGGGTCCCGGAGAGGAAGGGAGCGGCTGACCGCGCTAAGGCTAACCCGCAGTGCTGTGCTTCCCCTGCCCACCAGGAGCCGGAGAAAGAGGCGGCCGCCGCGCCTGGGATCGGCGGCTCCGGGATGCACCGGCATGTCATGGGGGCGGTCGGAGGGCCGGGTGCGGTGGACGAGTCCTCTGATAGCGAGGGGGAACAAGAAGGGCCCCAGAAACTCATCAGAAAAGTGTCAACATCTGGGCAGATCAGGAGCAAGGTAAGAAACAGCTGGAGGTGTCAGCTATGGCCGCAGGACGCGGCTTTCTGTGGCAACCAACTGTTGATACATTGCAGATCGCTGTACATTCACACGCCCCTCTGTTATTTTTTGTCGTCTGTAATGAATTGTAACACGTATTAAATAAAATAAGTCCATAAAATAGTTATGGTCGCAGACGGAAAGTGTGGCTTGAAAACGTTTCATCTACGTTGTAGCCTTTATGAACATTTACAGCACGGTCTGAACTCTCAGGGACTCGTGGCCGATACATCTAGCTGCTTTTCTAATAATCCTGAAGGTGATACACAAAATAAATTTAAAATAACGATTTTGTAAGTTAACTCATTATTTTATAAAAGAGAAGCGTTTATCTTTGCTATTAGATCTGGCACCTCATATTTTTAGTAGCTCGTGTATAGTGACTATTCACAATTGCAAGGTCTATAAAGACGTTGAATAGCGCGACATTTCAGAAAAGATTAAAATTAACAAGTAATTAACCGCATTATTATATACCCAAAAAGTGTCAAACCTGCTAGGCCAGATGTTGATGTTTTTAAAACATATATTAAAATATATTGATATTTGTTGTTTTTATAATTATTAATATACGGACACATTGTTATTGTAAAGATGTTGTACTTTTTTTTTTCTTTTCATCGACTCTTTGTAACGAAGTTTGCCATATCACGAAGTAACATCTGATTAGTACTGTGTGTAAAATTTAAGCATTAGGATTGTGATTTTTTTGGGAAAAGTTTCTTACTGGGAGTTTCAGCCTGACTTGCAGTGTGCAAAGCCATAGATCCTGGGTCCTTATGATTTCCAGTGAATATGGGGAAAAAAGACCCTGAAGTAGTTTAAACTACTGCCTAAAACCGTGGAAAGAGAAAGTGAGCGGAGTGTCTGCCTTGATCAAGCTGCCTGGCCTGTTTCACTCCTCTCACACTGGGATTAAGAGCTGCTTCTTTTCTAAACAGAGAAAGTCCACTCAATTATTGACTAATGCCTGGCTACATTATTTAAGGCGGCTAAATTTAGCATGCCTTTTTGGGACCTGGAAATGATGAAGAGAGTGGGTCCCTTTGTTATGCTAATTAACAATTCTTCAGAGCAGTAAATGATAGTCAGTTAATCATCCTTAAAGTAAAGGACACGCATCAAAACACATGCCAATCACCTGCATGCTGACTCTGCGCTCCGCCACACCTCAGCCTCTTCCGGTACCTTTCGAAAGTCAAGATAACCATGTAGATCCTGAAAAAGAAAACATCTTTTTTTCCCTCAGAGATTGGCAGCATTTTGCTCCTGTCGCGCAACAGGCAGCACATTGTGTCGACAACACAAAGGTCACGGGTTCAGATTCCAGGGAGAATACTTAAGCTGTAAGCCTTCTCTGTACTGTAAGTTAATTTGGATGAAAGTGTCAGGTAAATTATTGGGCCGTTGTCCAATCAGCCACAGCTATGTAGCGTCAGCATGGACCTAAGTAAGTAATGCTTCTGTCTGCCTTATAGAATCCGTGCCTTAATGAGATGGTGCGAGTTTAAACTATGGGGCCGCCAAAGGTTACGCGGCAAAACACGTGTAACTAAACCACATTACACTATTCAAACAGCGCGTATGTTTAATTAAGTTCCACGCCTGCTCTGTCTTTTAAAGGAAGGTAGTGTACTCGCTTGAAAAGGGTAAATAATATTAATATAGGCCTACATGCACTCAGAAAGACTAGGTAATTTTGTTTTTGATTTTTTGGTATTAGGCGTCTTCTCTGCCGTGCCCGTAGGGTCTGAGCAGACGTGGCTCCTTTTAGCTTTCGCTTTTGCCCGCTGAGAGAATACCATCCTGGGACTATAGCTGGCAGACCTTTGTCTGCTAGTTCAGGCCTGTCTGCTGCGCTACCTGCCGCCCTAATCGAACGGGAGTCTTTTCTTGGCACGCCTGCCTTTGGCATGCTGCATCCCTCCGGCTCTCTCTGCCCGCCAAACCATCTGCCACTGCGGGACGGAAGCTCCTGGGCACCGGGGCCATCCGCTCCGGTGAGGGAGAGGCACAGAATCGCGCCGTCTCCTGTGACCCGGCGACCTGTGTGAGGTCTGGGTCCTTCCCTACACCTCAGGGTTTCGGATGGTCTTTGCAGCCCCTAACACTGGGTATTAGAGGCAGGCAGGCGGTTGGCACGCCGTGCCGTGGTGTGGCGTGGGGAGCGCGGCGGCGTAGCACGTGGCCGCAAGAGCACCGTTCCGCTTTGGTGTTTACTCAGCGAGGCTTGTCGCTCCGTTCGACCGCAGATACATCAGCCAGACTCCGCCCACTCCTCTGCTCAATAGTCCAGATGCCATGTATCTCTGACTGCAAGGGTGCAGTGACATCCCCCCCCCCCACCACCACGAGTTGCTGGTTCCATGGCAACCACCAACCATATCTTCATCTAGCTAATGGCCTCAAGGAGAGGGGAAAAAAAGGGCAAGCTGCTTTTTCAATATCATACCCAACGACTGAGAATGACGATCCTGCAGACAGGAAGGGGCTGAGGAAGAAAATGGCTGTAGGTCTTTTGGCAGATCTTTTAGAAAAAAAACATACATATATATATATCAAGTACAGTATAGTGTAGGGCGGCACGATATTGGAAAAAAAAATCACATGATATCTGACATTTTTGGCGAATATTTTGCCGCGGGTGTTGCAGATCTGCGCCGACTGATCGCTCGCTTTTGCTCAATATCGTCTTTATGGAATCCGAGATATTTCCATTCAGTGGAAGTCCAGTGTCTTTCGGTGACCAGTTCTTGTTTGCTTTTTTCCTCCTCAAACATTTTTGGTAAATTTCTCACAGAAGCGCTGCATTGTCTGAGTGAGACTGACAGCAGGGATGAAAATGATTATGATTGGTACAGAGATCAGGTGCAGCGCTCGTGCAGAAGCAGCGGAGGTAAAATTCAAGTGGTAAGATTTTTTTAACATACACTAGATCTCGAAAGGGAATAGTCATTAAAATTGTAAAGATTGCTAAGTGTTGTTTCCTGTGCCCAAGGAAGATGCTTTATTGTAACTTATCAATGGTCCCAACCCAACTGACCATTATGGTCCTTATGATGTAACAATTGCATGTACATAACATGCAGCGTTGATATTAACATCACAAACCCATCAGCTGTAGTAAAATGGTTCACTTTCCATTTATAAAGCTAGTTGCAAGTATTGTACAGTTAAGACAAACATGAAGATGGCTAAAGTAAATATTCCCTTTCTCTTCAGGCCTGTGTAATACTTTACCTTGTAATATTTTGGTGTTTGCTGAGTCTGTATGAGCACCTAATGAAATAGCCAGTGACTTCAGACTCTCTTCCAGTGAGTCTCCCTCTCTTGAGGCGTGGAATAAGGTTTAGTCTAGCAAGACGCTCTAAGCTTTAACCTGACTGCTAGCAGACGGGAGGTTAAATGGGCAGAGATGCAAGGCTAACGTGCAAGGCTAACGAGCAAGGCTAACGTGCAAGGCTAACGTGCAAGGCTAACGTGCAAGGCTAATGCAGCTCCGAATGACAATCCGCCTTTTTTTGGACATTACATCTGTGGTTGGAGGTGTTCATTATGTTTCTGATTGAGGGAAACTGTGTGGTCAGCTTTTGTGGTGCTTGTAGGTTATTTCATAAAACACTCAGTTCAACCGTTAAATGTTTGCATATAGGAAAAAGCTGGATTTAGCTAGATTTAGCCAAAGGTAGCCCATTCTGGCGCATGGGCCAGATTAGGTAATGAGGCACAGGTCTGTAAGTCAACAAATATGCTCTGCATCCATCTCTGTTGATTCTGGCTAATCACATGCTTCTTGCTTTGCTGTTTATTTTCTGCTGGAAGGTACCTTGCTGGAAAAGTATCTTAACCACCTCTGTTGACGTAAAATTGTTAAAACATGTGCTATAATACTGTACAATTCAGAAGTCACCTGGTTTAAGATCGATGCACAGCAGTTACTCACAGGACCTGCTGTTGATTGGAATCAGACGTAGAGGCACGAGATTCAGTTCTCCAACCATTGAACCCTTTCAATTCAGTGGTTTTAAGGTTCTAGAGCACTGTTGCTAGGGAACAGAACATCCTTTAACAATGCACAGACATATCGTGGAAAAATTCTATTTCCCCAGAACCAGTTCAACATATTCCCCCCGATGAAACGTTTACTGCTTGCCCAGTCTTTAGTTTTTGTGGGCTTGGCCTTTTCATCAATAAGGCGTTCTGTGTGGAAAGAGCCCAGACACGTCTGTGACGTCACTGGCTCCTTTCAGGCAAAGGACTTTTGATGCATATTTGACATTTATATAAAAAAACCATTACTGGGAAAAATGTGAATGAAGGAGGGCTTTTTGTGACTTTTTTGAATTACCCATGCATGCCCCCCCCCAAAGATATTCTTAAATGGGTATATGGTACAGGGGGAAAAATCTGGTTAGAGATATAGTCCTTATTGTGGGCTAGATGGTGAAAGATGGCAAATTTCAATATTATCGCTTTGTTTTTTTAGTTCGTGTGATCCGTAAGGTTTGTATGAAAACCATGAGATTCAAATAGCTCTCCTTATGGCACTTTTGGATTGTTTCTCCATCCGAAAAGGGAACATCATGGTTTGACTATACATCATTCATCAAGACACCATCTGTGATTTGGACCAGTATTGTTTATGAGCAAATACAAGATGCTTGGCTTAATTCATGGGTATCAGACTCTATTCCTCATGGATTATAGGGCTTGTTGGGTTTAATTCCAATTAACCTTCTGAACCAAATGTGCTTTCTGGGGACTCCCTGTTTCTACAGTTTTAATGAAACTTGATTTGTAAATATAGGCTACTTCCCCCATAGATGCACAATGTTATTGTTGTTGTTGTTTTTTTTTTACTAATTTTATATTACTTAGACCTTCTTATGTTATAATTTACATAGATTAATCAGTTGTATGTATATTAGGTTTGAAACTAGTTTAGTTTCTCAATCACT